CTGACTTTTTTTCTTCCTCCCTCTGGCGGATTTTCACTCTTAATCAAAAAGCTCATTACGGCGCGCGCAGGTTGACTTGTCCTTTTATACCCCGCAGAACCGCGATACCGGCTCAACAAGTCGATGCAATTATTGACAAGAAAGACGGTGCCCTCAAAAATATTCCCAACTGTTGTGTAACCTTAAACACTTTCCCTCCAATTCCCTGTGATTTCTCCTCGCTTCCACAGTAACAGGAAGAAAACGGCGACGCGATAATGAAGGCTCTTTGTTCTGGCCTGCAGCTCTGTTGGCCATTTTGTGCAGGTTCCTAAAGAAAGCAATTCTATATTGGGTTCTTTTCAGTGAAATAGCCCATCGCCGTGACGCAACACATAACCCCTGCTCTGAATTTCTCTGGATGTGGTGTTTTTGTGATCAAACAGCCCCTGGAGGCGGTGATAATGCCCCTAATGTAAAGCATTGTTGCAGCTGAACTACAGTTGATAAAAAAGAAATAAAGAAAAACTCTCCTCGAACGCTGAACAATGACATTTGTAGAAAATTACTTTCTAATTGAGGCGTATTGCATGAGCGTGACAGATAAATTAGCCACTGTCAGGACTTTCAGCTGTGGTGCGGCGTCACTTGTGTGTTATTTGTCGGAGCGCTCCAGCTGAATCTGGTCATGTTTGTCGTGTGAATGTTTTTAAACTCAGAGACTCTGCTTCAAACTTTATTTCCACTTTTTATTAAGTATTAAAACTTTTTTGGCCTCCTAATTTCACACTGAAATTCCTGTCAGAGTTCTACAAAAAGTTGATAAAAATATTTCCTGCAGGGTGCACACATACAAGAAAAATCAGCAAAACTAGCAAAGATACAAACCTGTCGTCCAAACACAAGAATCTAATAAAGATTAAAGGGTTAGCCCGTCTTTTTAAAGCTGCTGCCTGTAGTTAAGTTTTTTATACAACATGCAGCCCATTTCCTTACAGTACAAATAAACCCATTTTATTTCAATTTTGCACAATTTCAAGCTCTACCTCTGCTATTTGATGAGGTTGTAGAATCACAAATTTCCCTCCCAGCGTGAAATCTTCAATGTCAGATAAAGAGGAAAGGTGGAGGGATGATTCTTAGGAGGCAGGACATCACATTTAAAGGCACTGTAAGTATTTTTACTTTTATTTTATTACAATTTCTTTAAGTGTTTTTAATCTGGGAAGCCGTATTGAGACTGGAAACGTCTGTACAAGAGTTCTCACTAAGATTGGCTGCAGCATATTTTAACATTTTTTCTTAATCTATAATACACAAGCATTTTAAAGACGTCCCAGGATGTCCTGGAAGCAAAATTTTTTGGTAGGATAATAGGGGAAGGTTCTGCCCTCCTTCGCCTCTGATTGGCTAAAAGTGCTGGGCTCCGTTTGGTTATTCCTAATGGCTGTGAAATATCATCGTCTGTCGGGTTAGGGTTAGGGTTAGGAGATTCAGAAGTGCAATAATGTTCCGTAATGTTCTGTTTGATGTACAGAGCCAACAGTCCACGTTTGGCTTGAGTGTGTGATGATGTTTCCAACTTTTCTAGCCAATCAGAGGCAAAGGAAACGGGACTTTCCCCTACTGTCCTACAAAACAAAAAAAAATCGCATCCTGGAGCACATAACAGGAAGTCAAAGTGTTTTCAACCTTCTACTTCCTTCTCCAAAGCCAGACTAATATACCTCGATGTGGGGTTTACAACTGCTATGTATACCATAGATGAAGGTGACCATACATCCTCGTTTGGGGGGAAGTTTATAAAATCCTTCAACTGTCCCGGGTTTTGAAGTTTCAAGTTTGTGTCATGTGGACATACTGAGTAAGAAGCGCGTAAAAGACACTCAACACCCAAAAAACTCTCAAAATTAACTTTGTGCGACTCCGTGACACCGCCCCTGTGTAGTTGTGTCCGCTTTTTGGGAAGTGGGACCTACCATCTTACCATAGATGGATAATAAATGAATGCTACATTAGTCACGTCACCCATTTGTTTGCAAAGTGGAGTTTTTCAGTCAGCCAATCAGAGGTGGGCTTTCAAGCCTGTCAATCAAGTCAGCCACGCCTCTGATTCGCCGATCTTGAATGTGGCAGACACAAAGAGGACCAGACTTTTGCTGGTTGCTGTCTGCCCTGACCAGGTGGAAAAGACGGCAAAAGAACTGATAGAGTTTTAAAGAAAGAGAGAGAGAGAGGATGGCAACAACCCTAAGATTAGACACAACTTTAAAATGACTAATTTCATAGCAGTAGTGGGAGAAGAGTAAGCCTACAGCCGCAGGTGTTTACGACAAAAATCAAAAAATCCACATGAACCTTAAAGATGAAGAAAATCAGCAAAACTCCACGGAGTATAAAAAAGTTATTAAAATGCTTTAATGGGACATGATCTTGTAGATGGAGTAAACAGAGGAGGTAGAAGCACCTGTGAGTTGTATCAAGTGAACAAATTTTGACTAGATTTGACAGGACAGATACACGGAGCCTGTAAATGTGCTTTAGTGGAGTATCCTTTAATAATGCTCTACTCATTGAGTTAGAAAATTATAAACCTTTAGGGTGTTTTAAAACCAAGCGGTGGAAAATAACTTGTAAATATATCTGGACAAAAATAAACTGAGGGCACTCCAGTAGTAAGTCTAAATCTGTAACTATCTGCACTCTGGAGCAGCTGGAGAAAAAAAAAAGACTGAAAGTTTGAGAGCGATGTGCTGAGTTCTTCTTTCCTTTTCCGGAAGTGCAGATGCATTCGACTTAACAAAGCACAGAAATAGCAAACTCATGCATGAGGGTGTTTCATGTTTCTCTCTCTTAACAGATGGCGACGCAGCCTATTGTGCCACCAGTCTACCAAACTAAACTTCTGAACTACTGGGCTGCTTTTTTTTTTACACACTAAATACAGACTGCTTTTGGAGGAACTTGCCGAGCAAACAGGACTGGGCACGACAGAAGCTTTGTGATTCGGAGCCAAACTTGTGAAGTGATGCAGCTGTTCAGGAGGAACCACAGCGGGCTCTCAGGGCCTTGTTTGGGAGAGGTGAGCAGCGGCACAGACGCCAAAGCTGCTCTGTTGTTGGGCAGTTTTTTGTTTGACAAACACAGAATGATGGCCCGAGTCTTGTTAAGAAAAACACCTGGCTGCTGTTGTTTTTCTTTTTTTTGTTGAACTATCATAGAGAGCATTAATATGTAAAAGGCTCAGAGGGAGCTGTGGTTTGTTCAACACAACATAATGAGACAGCTGTGTTGAAAAAGTAAGGATAAAAGGTGGGAATATAAAAATCTGTAAAGCTCTAATCATACAACTTTGATTCAAGCTGAGACCAAAATCAGTATCCACTATAATATTCATCATACTGTCAGAACTCTCCTCCAATACCAAGGGTCTAGATTCAAACCCAAGTCCCCCACTTTGAGGACTAAATCCTGCATGCATGGGACACTCAATTCAACTCCTGAACATATCACATATGAGTGAGCAGTTAGCATACTCATGCACTGTTAGCTTGGACGCCCCTATTCATTCTTAATATTAGAGGTGTGATGCTGAGTCATAGCTCTGAAGTGTTTACTCGTGCTTTATAGAGTCGAAATATTTCCAGTCTTAAGGTCCTTACACACTGGGGCCGATGCGAATATATAGAACGCGAAATTATGAAATATTCTGAGGAGAATTTTGACGCGCCTGACTGTACACATCAAGCCCGATGTGATGTGATTTCGCGACTTTCCTCAACTCAACTCAAACTTTATTTATAGGGCGCTTTAAAAACAACCGAAGCTGGGGGAAAGACGTATCCCGGGAAAGACTTTTGCCGGGGAAAGTCCTCCTTCGCCTCTGATTGGCTAGAAATGTGAAAATTTGTTCCCTGTATGCTCCTCCAATGTATACAATAAGAAAATGGTGCCCTCAAAATGTATTTCAGGATTTAAAACAGGAAAAACTGCCTTAATGTTGCTTCAGCAGTTCAAAAGGTATTAAAAAAGCATCCTCAGGATTCCCTTGCAACGTGTACAATAACAATAAGTACCTTCTGGAAGTTCCCTCCAGAGTAAACAACGTAAAAATAGTGCCCTCAAGATGCTCTACCATTACATAAGATGTGAAAATTTGTTCTCTACATGCTCTTACGATAAATACAACGTAAAAATAATTGCCTCTGGATGCCCTTCTAATGTATACAGTGCAAAAATATTGCCTTCTAGATGCAATTAAGCTGAAAAAAGTGAGTCTTGTTGCCCTTCCAGTACAAAAAGTGTCTAATATTTCCCTATTAATGACTTATCGATGTAAACAACTTAAAAAATCGTGTCCTCTAGATGTATGTCATGTATATAAAATGTAAAGATTGTGCTTTCTTGATGCATTTCCAGTAAATTTTATGAAAATTAAAGCACTGTGAAATCTCTTTTAATGGATCAAACATGTTATAGCATTATCTGGAATTCAACCTTGTAATACATGTTTGGTTGATTTGTCATTTTTGTTTAATACTCCAATTACTAAATTAGTTAACTCAGTATTAACATTTACATTTACGTTGAAATTAATATGTGCTACTGCTTACAAATAATATTTATTTTCATATGGGATTATTTCTGTGCTTGTTTCATAAGTGTATTTGCCTCTGTGGGCTTGAATCACTTCCTGTTTGAACCCCCTCTGTTGCTCCCTGAGCTCACTCGAATAAAGTGTCCTGTTGGTTACCCCAACCCCCTCCACACACAAGCACACAGGCAACAGACTGTAAAATCTGTTACATGATTGAAAATGTCGGGTACTGAATGTGCAAAATATTAAAAATGGTGCTTTACAGAGCGATGGAAAGAAAAGTGCTTCAAAGGACGTGCAGCTGGAGATGAGTCAAAGGCATGACTGAGCGGCATGACTCAGGTTTTTCATGATTACCGAAATGCTGTGTTGAAAATAGATAATGAAAAGGTGAGTGTCGGTCAAATTCAAGGTTTTATTCGTACATAATGAAGGTGCAACATCCCTGATCCGGCTCGTCTCGTCCCTGCTGGCTGAACCTCCCCCCCTGTGAGTGGGAGCCGTCGACTCCCAGTCAGACCTGCGAGGCATGTGATTCTAAATGGAAGTAAGTGTAATTACAGGATGACGAAAAGGCAGGTAGCAGGCAGCCAGGCAATCATTTCCCCTGATTGAGACAGAAAGTTAAGGTCTGAAAGGCCAGCGGAGCGTGAGCCCACAGCAGGCGCAATGTGACGCCTCAATAAACCGCTCTGAAATTAGAAACTTCTTGTTCACTTCTTGAGGCAGGGCGGCCTCTTTCATTGACAGGTACAGTCTCAGCCTGTAGGATGATATCTTCTTTAATGTCAATAAGACTCTCCTGTGTCTCAGTTAGCGCTCCCCTCTGCAGCATTAATCACTCTGAAATGGGCAAAGCTGGGCTGCACCGGCGCAAAGTTATTCAGTGCATACGGGTTGTAATTGAATTTATTTATTTATCCAAAGCAATAACAGGATGTATTTCCCCGGCGAGCTTTGCATCCAACTCAACAGAACAGGAGATTTACAGTGCACGGGTGCAATTACAAGCAAAGTGACAAAATTCATACGTCACAGCGGAGAGATATTCTGAATTTAATCTATCTTTTCTACACCCTCAGAGTCTCTGCTATCACGGCGTGTTTTGTGACTAATTAATCATGACTTGTCTTTGTCGCACAAGAATGAGAACACCTGAGGCAGTATAAATCATTCTGTCGGAGATTGACACTGATCTCACTAATCCCTTTATTTATGTATTCTGCCTCTAATCCAGGCATAAGCAACTGCACAGACATGCTGCAGAGGAGGGGCGATATCAAAACAGCTCAAAAACACCAAAAAAAAACGAGGTTGAACGTCATCTCTACGCTGGTAGGGTAATACATTTGAAGTTGGTGGCACCTCCATGGCTTTTAAACTCTAATCAGCCTTTTTGCAGGTTCAAACTCAACATTTAGTCCACAGTTTAATGCTATCATTTCAGGTAAAGTCTTAATATTTGCATTTTCTTATTGGCATATGCATAATTCAGTCCTGTTTCAATGTTTTCTTCGATTTGGTAGAGGTCTCTTCAGTGTCTTATGCACTTAATCATGCTTTGCTAGCATGTACACGGTTTACAGCCGCCTACTTTCAGTTAATAAACATTGTTTAAGGGTCTGGACCAATCACAATTAACTTTTCAAATATGTAGATGATTATTGAAGAAGCCAGGTTATGAATCATCGCAGATGCATTGGTGTGAATGGCTTCATGTGGACACTTAAAGGGATATTCCGGCGTAAAATTAATTTAGGGCCAAACACACAGTAACACCAAGTTAGACACCCCCTTGAGAGATGAATGTTGCCAACCCCTTGCTTCTCTAGTTATACCAACTTTAGTAACAACCACAGGATAGCAATACACAGCGGTCTGAGGAGCCATAACCAAACCTCAACAAATACGCCACTCTATAGCCACAAATAATGCTCAGAACAGCACCTAACTTCATCAACAGGACATATAGGGTCCTAGCCATAGTACTAGCCATCAAACATCTATTTAACTTTGCCTGATTTCTTTAGCAAAGAGACTAAACACAACTCGCCGACTCTCTTCCAGCACCTGCTCGTTTGTATCGCGACTTCCGGGCCAGTCCATTACAGACTACAGCGGGGTGACGCAGCTCAAGGAAGAACATTTATGATCATTTCTTCACAGAAATGCAATCAGACCGAGACACTAAGGCAGAAGAACTACCACGTCTGCAGTGCAAAATGATTAATATGGTGATTATTACTTAAAGGACATGATAAAGAAATGATCATAAATGTTCTTCCTTGAGCTGCGTCACCCCGCTGTAGTCCGTAATGGACTGGCCCGAGGTCTTGCTATTGTAATATCCCTTTAAGGAACTGCAGTTTTTATACTCATGCATTGAAAGTCGCAGCTTGGATGAAAGTCATTCCTGGAAATACTGTGAAATTAAGGGGTCACCAAAAATGAAAATCCCCTTCTATCTCACTCCCCTTCATTTCATTTCGGCAGCATCTGCAATCTAACAGCTATCTCCTGTGCAAATAAAGCTGAAGATATCTACTTGGCTTGGTATGCACTCATTGGAAAATTAGGTTTTGTTTGGTTTCTGAAATGAATCACTGATCCTTCAAAGACAGGTGTAAACAAAAGGGACAATCCCTTCACCAAAACTCTAATACAGGACGAGCTCATGCTAACAACAGCATGTTCTTCAAGGGACTCAATCAAAACTGGGAAACATATAATTATACTTCTAATTAAAATAAGTAATCATAATATTGATGAGCTCAGTTTGGAAGCTTTAAAGCAGCTGAAGTGCTGTTGCCGTGTTGCTGTAACCTAGCTTGCTACATTTCTTTTGTAACTCACTACATTATAAAAATAAAGATTTGAATCTGTTAAAAAACGTTTTTTTTAACCAATAAAAGTGGGTCTATAATTGGTGCAAACGATGTATTTATTATGAATAAACAAACTAAGAGAAACTTTTGAAAATAATGGATGATTTTTCTCTAAATGTCAGGATACAAAAGTGACTTTCGGCCGCAGTAGACTCACTGGTGGTGATACATAATACTATTTTGTACTACTTTGGACATTTACATGATATAGCCTACACTATGGTTATACAGGTAATTACAGTATATGCTTCCCACATGTATTCTTTTAAATTTTCCCTTCTGTTTTTTTGTTCCTAGGCTCATACAAACATTAAAATCATTTAATAAAATATGAACAAAGAAAGTCTAAAAGCCAAAAACCTGTGCCGCTCTCTCAACAAAGGAAAGCATTTATTTGAATGTGAATGGACAAATTAATCCGAACAAAATCTTCGATTCTGTCAGTGGGAATCTAGAAGTGAAACACAAAGAGCCCCGACAGTGTTAGTTATTTTTCAGGTTAATTAATATTTCATGGAAATATGCCCGGTGTTTAGCGAACTTCTGTAAGCTGATTTAGAGGTGCACTTAGCTGCTCACGGGTGGCAGGAGTGTGAATGTGGGTGTCACAGTGGGATGTGAGGGGTGTGGAGAACCTACTGGCATCAGGCACCAGCTTCCCCGGGCGACATATCCTCTCCCACATTAACCCCGTGTTGTGAGATCCTCGGCTGATGCTGAGCCTGTAATTAATGAAGGGCGAGAGAGAGACAAAGAGAGAGAGAGAGAGAGAGAGAGAGAGAGAGAGAGAGAGAGAGAGAGAGAGAGAGAGAGAGAGAGAGGGTTAGACTGAAAGCAACATCAGTTTAAAAGCTGAGGGTGAGTCAGCTGCTATGTTAATTTTTTTCCCCTTTCCATCAGCAGCTACACTGTAAACTTTGGTTTTAAAGCATTAGTATGTAATTTTTAAAAAATCTGGTTAAATGGATATTCAGGCGTAAAATTAATTTAGGGTCAAACACACCGTAACACTGAGTTAGACACCCTGTAGAGAGATGAATGTTGCTGACTGCTTGCTTCTCTAGTTATACCAACTTCACAAATGACCGCAGATAGCTGTAATGGACTGGCCTTAGGTCTCCATACAGACAAGCGATTGCTGGAAGAGAGTGGGTGAGTTGTGTTTAGTCTCTTTACTAAAGAAATTAGGCAAACTTAAAAAGATGTTTGTTGGCTAGTACTGTGGCTGGGACCCTATGTGTCCTGTTGGTGAAGTTAGGTGCTGTTCTGAACATTATTTGTTGCTATAGAGTGGCGTTTTAGTTGGGTGCGTGGCTCTCTGTATTGCTATCTGCGGTCGTTTGTAAAGTTGGTATAACTAGAGAAGCAAGCGGTTGGCAACATTCATCTCTCAAGGGGGTGTCTAACTCAGTGTTATGGTTTCTTTGACCCTAACTTAATTCTACGCCAGAATATCCCTTTAAAACACAGACCAAAATTAATCATATCCAACTTTTACCAAATCTACTCTGTTGACTGCTGCTAAAACTACACACTGCACCTTTAAATCTCACGCATCGCAGGGCTTTAAAGCTCCTGTAAGAAGTTTTCAGCTGGTTTTTAAACAGGCTCCAATTGATACCAATGCCTCCACATGACTTAGCTCACTAAACCATCAGAGGGACAATCAATAATAATTACGATGTAGATATTTATAAGGCTGTAACAGTGAGTGACACTTTGTACCATTACAAGAAAGAAAATTAAGACACAACTTACTAATGAACTTGAGGACAATAGAGAGAAAAAACACGACTTTGGTTTGTAAGGGTGCCAAACTGGACATAAAATAAACGTTCCCCATTGGAGCTTTAATGTAAAGTGATGCAGAGTGCTACTAGTGTGATACAACATGATAACATGCAGGAATAAATGGCCCTGTGTGACTATTTGACCATTTCAAAACAACAATGGCTTCAAATTGAACAAGTTTAAGACAAAAATCAAAATCCTTTGACATCGCCATTTGAACAGGGATTAAGAGAGTAAAAGACTAGAGGGGTTTTTGAAGGATAGATAAAATAATAATGAGGCAAATATTGGCAACCTTTTATTTTGAAGGGCAGAGAGGGCCCCTGAGGCGTTTGATAACGAGCTAGACAGCGATGAAGTTTTTAAAGTACCGGCTGAGTTCAGAGGAGGCCTGCTTTTCCTAAAATCAATGCAGGACGGGGGTGGAAATGGGTGCCAGGCATTGTAATGTCTTGATTGCCGTCTGGAGAGGAACAAGCTCTGCTGATCGATACTGATTTAGAAAGATAAAAAAAGCGAAGTTGAATGTATTTCATGCTTTTTCTGGATGACAACCTCACAGACACGTGTTAAGACTTTATCAATTAACAAGAGACGCCGTCCTCGGGGTATCAAAACGGATCTTTACCGAACACGTCCAAGCGGCTTTGAATCGTGTTGCAGTGCCGAACTCTCCAGATGGATGAGTTTGTTTTTCCACATCATCACCTGCCGTTGCATAGCTCAGTGTGACACTTTACCTTCCTTGGCCCTTCTAACTCTGCAGGAGCGCTTTGCTGATGGCGTCCCCGGAGGCAGCAGGTGTGGAAAAAGCAACATGTTAAATATTGGTTAGGTTGTGTATTTCAGGCCAAGGTCAAACAGCCTGAAAAAAAACATCATTTTTCACAGCTTTAGTTGCATGGGCACGCCATCAGAGAGCAATGAGTCGAGTGCAGCCATGTGAAAAGTAGGGACTTGATGGTTTTTCATCTTTTACCTCCCCATTTTGCCAACGCCAATGAGGAATTCATGCCCTGTGAGCAATTGTACATAACTGTACAAATGTGAAGAGACAGATTTGCAATGCACTACCAGCAAGGTTATGTAAAAAAAGAAAAAAAAAATGCAGAGGGTGGGCAGTGCAGACACGATTTGTCACAGATGTGCCACATTTCCATGAAAACCACTTTTCAAGTCAAGATAATGAAGAAACCCCCACCCACTCCCGACGCTCGCCACACACACCTACACATCACACATGTACACACACACACATACACACTTGGAGGAATACAGTACATCAACTCTCCTCCAGCTGTCAGGAAAGACGACAGCCAGGCAGCCACATCTATTCACAATCAATTCAAAACGCTCCCTGCCACTTTTATTGAATTTCACATCAACAGAAGGGACAATTAAGATGATGAGTTTTTGGTGGGTGGACAGTTGAAGGAAACCATGCCCACCAGGAAAACTGGCCCTCCAGAGTGCACGCCGCCTGATGGGAAAGGACTGTGTGGGACTGAGCGTGTATGTAGGTGGCGTCGCACTCGAGGAGAGATCACGTTACCGGTTCACACTGGAGGAGCTGGATCAGGCTGTGAGTCAAAATGTGTGTCTGTGACCTTATATTCATCACTGTGGTTATACTGAAGCTGGGAATCAATACTAAACTCATGAGTAACATGCGTCTATTTTCCAGTGGCTGCTGAAGAGGGGGACAAGTGGGGTCTCTGCCCACTCCTTGAAAAGGCCATGTCCATGTGTACGGGAATTATTATGAAAACTGGCTTAGGGTGGCATTTCAGGTCACTAGAAATTTAGAGTTTTTGAGTCTAGAGCAGATTTTATTAAAACTCTGATTCATCTGAAATCCCATGAATAGTGCAAACATAGTTTTAGGGAAAATGGCGACGTCAGTGCCTCTGCTTCTGCATGGCTATTTTTGTTTATATGTGCTGCACATGCGGGTTAGTGGGCTATGCCCCCTCTATAGGCTTAGATCAGTCAGGTTTGAAGTCAGAGTGCTCTTGGCCTAAAAAAAAAAAAGCAGTTTTTGCAATTCTGAGTACAGTTTGTAAATGTTGGCAACAGCACACAGTCAGCTGCTACCTGGTATAATCACATATTGCTATTTCCATGGGCATGTGGGCAAATCCACTTCACAATTTCGCCATAGCTTCCTGTTGACATAAATTGTATATTCACTGGAAGTTTGGGGCTGTATGATTCGTATATTTCATTATTTAAAGTTTTTCTAGTAGGCCATATAATGCTGTTTTTATACAGTGTGCTTTACACTTTTTGTTTTTATATTTATTGTTCTTATATTTATTGCTTTTGTTGCACACAGGGAAGAGCATCCTGAACTAATTTCGTTGTAACTTGGTGTACAACGACAAAGTCTGAATCTGAATCTGTAATCATGGTAGTTTGGGATTGTTTTTTTTGATAATGTTTAAAAAGTAACCAGCAATTTTACCTCTATAGCTGAAACAACTGCATCTCACAGTCTTATGTATTATCCATCTTTTCTTATAATGACCTTCCTGTGTTGAATACTTGGTTCTGATTGGTCGAAACCCTTCTCAATAGCAAGAGCAGTGGGGATGTTTTCATGTCAGCTGTCTCATGACTCTATTTGCCTGACCGTCCACTCACTCCACATTACTTGTTTTTGATTCGGGGTCTTAAATAAGTAACACCAGCTATAAACCTCAGCTCCTCACAATCACAGCTCCTACTCTCACAACTTCACTCAGAAACTTCTCGTCTAAACCTCACGACACCAGAAGCTGTTGGCAGATGCGAAAGACAAACTGAAATTGTCGCTACTTTTAAATCTGGATAAAGTGGCAAATTTTTGAAAAAGACATAATTTTCCTTTCCATCATTCACAGATCTAACTAGCCTCTACACAATTTACACAAACAAAGGCAATTTCAACACCCATTTCCTTCTCCTACTCTACCTCTGTGCGCAATTGTCTTCATGCTGAAATGTTTTTTGGATGGAAACCCATCACAGGGGAAAAGCACTGGGCAAACATTTGCATAATACTACACATGGATTCTGTGATCCAAACAAAAAATGAGCATCTAAAACAGAGGAACACGAGTATGAAATTGGAGCTAGTAGAGTAGAAAAACACACTTTCCTCTGAGAGAATCCCAAAAGCGAAGGCGACACTGACCTTTTAGTGTAATGAACAGCCAAAGGACGAGGGAAAGTGTCATTTCGGATATTTTTATAAGAAGATCTGTCAATAAAAGAGGCATTCATGATCTCAGTATGGGCACTAGTTGAAGCAGCGTTCCGGTGGTATCATTTTTCAACTGGTTGTAATGTAATAGTTCAAAATGGAGGCCATAGAGAGAGGCAGAAACCAAATGCAGTGACACAAACATAAAGTGCCAGCCCTGCTTTAATGGTACGGCCATGAATAGCTGCAGAAATGGCAACCTAAGAGGCGGTTAAGTGACTTCTCTGTGTGTGTGTGTGAGCCCGGGGCAGAGACACGGGGTCCGAGGAGTGAGAAACAAAGAAAGTCCTGAAATGTGGATGTTTGAGACCAGAAGACAGCTCCAGGCCTCGGGGCCAAAATTTTACTCCATTAGGTGAAGTGACCTGAATGAGATCAGGGCAAAGAGGCTGAAAGGACGCGCTGAGAAAGACAGTGGTGGAGGAAAGAGCTTTTTTTTTTTTCCTAGTTTGTGTAGGGTACATCAGTCCAGTCAGAGAAGCTGCTGTGTGATGGACTGGCCAAAGGGAACTTTTGTATGCGATTCATTGATTCATTCTTTGTGTGTGTGTAGCTGATGTTTCAATCTCTTCAGGCTTGTTGTCAAGTATGTGTTGTGCAGCTTGAACTGGCCTCGAAAAGCAAAGGCCGTGATGGACATGACAAACAGGGATCTTGCTGTACAACATAGATCTTGTCTCTGTGGTGCATCTCCGTGATCTGGAGTGGGTTTTTCAACATGTACACATGTACGCCTGTGTAAATAGTTTCTAATTATTGCTGCAGCCTCGCTCGGCTCTCTGTGGTTGAGTGGCCGAGTGTGACAGACGCAGCTGTGAGGGTGTCAGTGGGTGTCTCTGATTGTTGCGAGGAAGGAGGACGAGGAGGCGAAGACGGGGTAGAAACTACAGGAGTTTAGAGATGTCGACTGATTTTAAAATCTGCATTTTGCACACATGGAAAATTCAGGGATATTTTAGTGTTTTATTTCAAACACATGCAGAGCTGCTTTGTCCTGTTTGGTTTGAATAGACATTTATGAGGTACAGCTGTAACAGAATAAAGACGATAGGTGTTCAAATCTTGTTGCTGAAAGGCATCAATGCTCCCACAAGCAGCTTGTTCTGGATGCAGTTAATGATAAAAAATTTACCGGCGTTTTCCGCCACATCCGGAACAGCTACAAAAAGGCCGTATCCGCCGGTCGTAGCTGATCGCAACCATTTAAGGTAATGTGTCAATTTCCAACGGCCTCTTTCCGTTCCACTGCGGCTCGCCGGACTCCGCAGCTAATCGCAAGAGTTCAATTTTTTTCTGGACGCTGTAGCATGCCATATAAATTTAGCAAAGATCAACCCGTGCTGGAAAGGAAGTCGAGCACAGACACAAAATAAAGCATCCGGCTTCTTTTCAAAATAAAACACTAGTGTTTTTAGGCGGTTTGTATCTCAGACCATGCAAACGGGCGGGGACGAACAAGTAAAAGGTTTGTAGACAGCATTTCACCACGATGACATCATGGATGAGAGGATGCTGATTTTATGAGTCTAGAAGTAGATTTCCACAATCTACTGCTTATATTTGCCTATGTGGCTAAAGACAACTCGTTTTCGCGCGATTACATGTGAATCCGCAGGTTCTCGTGAGTTCTTATGATTCGTCTCACAAATGGAGCCGGAAGGAATTTGCGTACAGTGAAAATCGCTGCCATTCCAGATCGGTGCCGTTTCGGATGCGGTGGAAATCCCAGTTAACACTTCATAAACAGTTTCCTCCTCTGAAGTGAGGGGTGCCACTGGATTAAGGCGAGTGTGCAGAGGTTGAGCTCCTTGATACAGCTGCCAAGGTTCAGTTCTGTTCTATATCCTCTTTCCTGCGTGTTGCTGCCTCTCTTTCTTCTCTATCCTCTATCATCGCCTCTCAAAAGTAATAGCAAGAACCTGTGAAATAGATCTTTACAAAAAAATGGTAAAATGACTCAAAATCATTCAACGACTCCTGAAGTCTGAGCCCAGCTGAAGAGGTCTGTCTGACACTCAGTACTGCCTGATACCTCCATCTCTCTCCCGTCTCTTCTTCGTGCTCTTTCTGCCTCTAGCCTTTTCACCCCGCTCTGATTAATGAGTCTCGTCAGGAACCGTCCGTCGCCGCTCACACCAATTAAAACATTAGGCCTTTCCACATGACTTCCTGCCTTTAAACAAACAGCAGGACCGCCTGGGTCCCTCCTCTCTCCCTCGTGCCCCCGGCAGGCGCTGAGTCTCTCGGCCAATCAGCACCCCGTCGACCCAGCTGGAGTTGTGCTTGTCCTCATTGGGGAGGACAGACTGAGAGACGGTCTTGAGCTGGGCCTGTTAGCCTCCTACGGCGGGGACCTAACACTGAAAAACGGAGCAATCAGAGCTGAGTGTCAAACAATCCCTGCGCGACAGACGGCCCTCCACAGAGATCTCCTCCTGCTCTGTGTGCGTCTGCCTGCAGGACGCCTCGCAGTACAACCAAGACTCTGATCCTAAGTCATAATTGGATCGACCGCTAACTGGCTGTACAACACAAGGAAAGAAAACGACTGGCTGGATTTGATTGGATGCTTTTCTGGCCAGACCCTTGAAAGTTAATTGTCTCTGACCCTGTCTCGCGGTGTCAAGAAACTCTCCAAACGTTGATTGCAAACATTATCCTCCCTCTGAAGTGGACAATAAAACATCTTCCTGCATGGCGGAGAGGCTTGTGTTTGTGTAATCAACGGTAATACTCAGTCAGAGCAGCTTCAGTGGCAACCTGTCCCCTGCTCACTGACATAACCTAATGAGATTAGCCACGGATATCAGCCAGTCACATAATTCAGGAGGAGAGCGAGGTGGAGAGATGAGCTCTTAATGTGCGGTGATTCGTTCTGAGTGTCCAGGCCTGTTTCCGTGTGAGTCGGGGACGCGCTCGCGGTCTTCGTGGTGTTTGTCGCCTTCGCCTCATGTTAGCTTGCCAGTCAATCAAGTGGCGGGGCCCCGTCTCTCATCAAGGTGCTGTGCATGATTGCAAATGCTCGGATGTGCAGAAATTTGCACCTCCCCCCCCAAGAGAGAGGGAGAGAGACCCTGCTGAGAAGGAAGGACTCATCTGTCACACGGCGCAGCGCAGCAATCCACAATGACAGATGTGCGGAGTGACTCAGACGGATGACAGCACAGTACAGGAGGCTAGACAGTAAATACAGGAGGGGACACTGACACGCAGCTGGAGGAAAATGATGGTCTGTATAGATCTATATATGTTCAAGGTGATGATATATGATCAGGAGGCAAACAGAGGAACACTAAGTTGATTGGCTTGTACTCTCTATTTTACCTCTAGTTATGTCTTTTAAATCATACGAATGGATTTCATGGTCTGACCACCCCGTGTGCCGAGGCTGTAGTCCTCATCGCACTGATCTTTCACCTAGTTTCTTGTCTGTCTCTCAGGCTGTCCTGTCAAATGAAGGCGAAACCCCCTAAAACAACATGCAGGATATGTATAACAAGACCTGGCAACTTTACAAGGCAGTGACAGCCTCACATACTCACTCTCAACACTTTAGCTTCAATAAGTTTGAACCAAAAGGAGAAAAAATCTGCCTCAAGATGTAATTCTTGCTTAAAGCTCCTGTGCTGAAGTCAAGTTTCTCCACCCGTTGTGGACAGTGATTTCCCTGCCACAAGTACAAGTAAATCACTCAAATATCACTCCTTATGCTTTATAACCGGTGTTTCTTCCATGTGCTTTACATCATCTCATCTGACACCTACCCCCGTCCAGCAGTTACAAACCTTTAAAATCACACCACAAAAAATGTCTAAGTTTTTGCTGATCATCTGGTTTGCTTATATTGTTGGCATCTCAAACACAAACACTGGGGTGACCGAGTCTTTTCACTCGCTGGTCCCAGGCTCTGAAAAAAGCTCCCCACCGAAATTAGACTTATTTCCGACCTGGGCCTTTTAAAATCCGGATTGAAAACGTACTTATTTATGCTGCTTTTAATATCCAGTAGCATGGTGAAACTTTATTTGAATGCATTGTATTTTACTCTTTTTTTGTTGCTTTTATTGTTTTTATTTATGTATTTTTATTTTCTATGTACTGCAAAGCACTTTGGTTCACCGAAAGGGTTGTTGTAAAGGGCTGTATAAATAAAGAACATTTACATTTCTATAGGCTATAAAGAAGTATCACTGTTACATCCAGTCTCTTTCCTTACCAGATTAAAACTCCACATTGGAGCTTTAACTCTCTAATTCAATAAAAACAGCAAAGAGGAGTCATGAAAGACCAGCACTTTTATAAGCTAACCCCTTACTCTGCTGGGACACTCTCAGTTCATTTATATGTCGTCCAAAAAATGTGTTTGTCGATTGTTTTGGTATGTGATGTAACATGATAACCAGGAAACTGTTCAGAAGTAAGGAGTTGGAAAAGGACGTATCGCCACCTGCTGTACTGGAGGTGAACATACTGCCAATTTAACAATATAATGGTTCTTGCCCAGGGCTTGTAAACTGGGGCAAATATGGCGGCTGGTTTAAGTCTCAGTCTCTCATATATTCAAGATTTTTTTCGACTTTTATCAATTTTTAAAGTCACCGTATGTTTTCTTCAATCAATTTATTTTAATGCAAACCTAGAGATTTACATAATTTTGAAGTATTTTTTCTTACACGTCTGTTTATCTAATGAAATCTCTCTCTTTTTTTGGTGGATAACTTGAGCTTTTTAATACGTAAGTAAAGGGAAGTATAGTTTTTTAATCTACCAGTCAAAGCCAGTCCTAACTGGCAAACTTTGTGCCTTTCCGAGTAAATATTTTATCATGTTATGTGCCAAACTATCTTTTCATGTTCAGTAAAATGTTCTCAAAACAAACAAATGAAATGCTGTGAATGTGCTGAATCTTTCTCTGATGTTGTTTGACTCTCCCTTTTTCAAATATTATGGCTCACTTGAAAACAGTCACACCTTCAGAGATAACATTTTCAGACACTGAATTTGCTCCTGTGTTTCCCTCCTGTCTGTAATCATTTCCCTTTGTTGAACCCAGCCACATTTTCATCCATTTCTCTCCCCGGTGCAGCGCCACCAGGCTTTCTGGAACTTTGTCAAGTCTTTTGACCTGTAACAGAATGGAAAGGCAGAAGGCGGTTACAGCAGCACTCAGGAGCGGTGAAATTAGCAGGGAGGGAGAGAGAAAAGGAGGAGAGGATGGAGGGATGGAGGAGAGGAGAGGAGAGGGCCCACAGAACTGAACTGCAGTGTGTCTGGGAAGAGGAAGAGGAGGAGGAGGGGATGTTTTCTATGTCACTGCAGTCCCATATTGTCCCCAGAAAATGTCACTCTGCCCTTGGGAGGCAGCGCTCCGAGGCGAGACTCATCTGTCTGACCGCATTTAGCGAGATGTTCCGTGGCCAGATCCAGAGGAGCCCGGGAGGCGTCCCACTGCACTTTGTCTGCCCACCAACACCCCACACAGTGATTGTTTCCCACAAACCCTACAATAGACTTGATCTTTCAGCCGCACAATAGCACTTCTTCTGGAAAGTTTCATGCATTTTAAAAACTGTTCGGGTTTCTATGCAAAGACGCAGGAAGCCTTTGGATGTGCACCAGCTGGAAGAGTCAAAGGTGCATTGTTCGACTGGAATGACAAGTTTTTAAAAAGTAAAAGAAACGCTCGAAACAGACGGAAACGGAGAAGAATACAAAGTTAAAAGACTTGGGTGAGACTGTGCGCTGTGGTGTTTGAGCATCTCTCCGCACTGGTCCCATCACTCTGCATCGATGACAAGCTAATAAAGCCTGGTTTGAATTTCTGAAAGTTATCTCAGCTGTGCAAAATAAATGGTTTCTGTCACAGAATCTTTGGACTGAGTTTTATTGGCTGCATATCGAACAAGCAGGAGGAGTGTGTGTGTATATTAAATGCTTTTCTGCATAGCTAAGGAATAAAAAAATCATTAGATCCAGGGTCAGCATTTATTTTACAGGCTTATATACTGGAATACATCTAAAGCGCTGGAAACCCAATAATCCAGTACCCTTGGCTGTTGCAGACTTGTTATTAATTGGTAAATACAATGATAAGGTGTCGTATCAATCACTCACCAAGTCTTCTGCTAAAACAAATAGTTACACAAGACATGATAGTGTTTGGAGATGATGCATTCAAAAATCAGCCAATAGCAATGAGCGATGTACCTGCACTTTATCCAAGTGGCCAGCAGGGGAAGCCAGAGAAGTGAGCTGATTGAATGGAACCAAATGGGAGAATGATTGCACTTTGTAAGGTCTTTCTAAAAACTGTATGAACTTCCCTTCATACATCACGGTCAGATTTGAAGTTAAACTGATGACAAAGAAGGACGCAAAGGTCAAGATATAGAGGTGTGCAACTTTAAAGCCCAAAATATACAGGATCCATATTAAGCGTGTTCTCAGTATGGAGGACACAACATACTCACAACAGGTTGTTTTTCCTTTCTGTGGTCTCTTTCCTGATAATTTGGATATAATTCAGTGACCATTGAGCCTCTACTGTATATGAAAAAGCAACGTGGGTTTACAGTTTGGGTTTTCGCAGATTTACTCGTGTTTAATAAAGTAAACTATGTTCCTTTATGCTGTGCTGTTACTGTTGGGGTCCACATGGATCAGGGCTTGACCATCAGATTATTCTGTGTTACTGATAAATCCATAGCCAAATAAACATCCTGTTTGTTTTAGCCTTAAGCCATCAAGGTGCAAAAAAACTGCAGTTCCTCAAGCGTCCACTAGAGGCTGGCTACCTACAAAAATCAAGACATACCCAATGGGTCCCATATTACAACGTCTATCTTTACAGCAGGATTCAGCGTGTTTACAGTCTAGTTTAGAAAGCAGTTTTTGGTTTGTAGCTTATTCAGATATTTGTACACACTACAGTGTCAAGATAGTACAAAAGGCAAGAGTTGCACATGAATTTGCCTACAGGGGGACACCACCGCATTCTTCAGGTCCTCTCTGAAATCCTGTTTACTTTTCCTGAATCCTTCAAAGTCACTTATCACAGCTTTAAGATACTTATGTAAGTTTTAAATGTGTGTCTTTGTTGGTTGTTTGTTTTAAACTGCAGTGCAGGTCTGTTTTCATGCTTTTATCTCTGTTCAAAGTAACCTGACTGCAGGACGATGATGGTACTCAGGTTGTTCTTCAAGTAAAAACATCTTTTTTTCCCATCAGTGTAAGTACGTTAAACATGAGTAACCGGGTACATGCAGCTGCTTCTGTTCCCTGAGGGATGAATCACCCGTATTAGTGATGGCAGTTTGTGCAACACAAGCTTTTGATACGAACATTAACGCAGACTTTGACTCTCTTTCTCTTGCATGGCATCCCTAGAACGGCTTGTATTCATAAATTAGTACATGAATACATAAATGCCAGTAATCCTCTAATCTAGTACACTTTTTTTGTCGCGCTGAAAGGCGAGCTGCGTTCGCTGCTGAGGATTAAAGCAGCTCATTAAAGAGAGGCATCCATGATTGAAATAGGCCAAGAGCTCTTTTTTCTCTGAACCGAACGGGAGACAAAGGAGCTTGAGGAAATGAATGAATGGTTTATCAGGTCTGGGCAGAAGCCACCGTCTTGTCTACCATAAGCCCCGGACACGACATCGGCTGCATCGACTCGGCTGAGCACCCAGATTAAATGGCTTATTGACTGCGACAGGACGGAGGCATCAAAAATGGAGACTTGTAGCCGGAGTCACCTTCAGATGTCATCCGAGCAACAAAGTCTTTGAGACACACTCAGGGATGCGTCGTTTTGTTTGGAGTTCAAACAGAGTCTCATAAAACTCTCTGATTTGTCTCCTTTAATATTTACCTCCAGGTGAGGCGGCGTTATAGAAAGCAGAGGCGAGCGTATTTAAAGTGTCGCTCTACAGCAGCATATATAACCTACGTTACACCCGAGGGCTGACACTTTATTAATCGTTGAAATACCATCTCCTCCTCGTCTTTTTCCCCCTTTTGAAAGATTCATAAAGGCCAGTTAGTGACTGCGTCTCCTCTGAGAGCCGCCGGACTCGGCTGAAAATGCGACCTGGGAATTCTGGCTTGTCTTTGCGGCGACTGATCACCTGACATTAACTCCCCAGCTCGAAGTTTCCCCTCATAGTTTACTGGGGGGGGTGATTTTTAATAATTTATAAGGACTCAGGGGCAACCATGGAAGCAAGATTGAATTTTCAAATGCAGTTTATCTGGCACTAGCAGCTGGAGGCCTCTTGAAGGTGTATTCTGCAGCTTGTCAATATGCTTTGCCCGTATAGGCTGTGACATTAAATTAAATAGGTTATTGACTGGCAGGTGAGTTGGCAATGAGGCTGCTAGAATGCACACTCACTAGCTCGCTGACCCAACCGGCTATGGATCAGTGGTCCATAAATCAGGGCCAAATAGATCCAGATCTTTGCCTTGTGTTTCCACCCTGCATCCTCTATTTGTTTTTAATTTGTACTGATGGTAATCCCACGGCTGCGCTCAGATTTACAGAAGCAATAACAGTGGAAATGCCACCGAGTCTCCCAGGGTGCTTGTCTTCTGCTCACTGAGAGTATGTGTGTGTTGTGTTTTCACAATAAGAGTAGAGTGGGCATGTTAGTGGACAGCACCTACGACAGTAATGCATTTGTTGATTGCTTCTCGGTCCCTCTGGGTTACAGGAGAGTTGGTGGACTTACTCGCACTCACACTGTCCACTCCGAGTAGAAATGACATGTTATTTGACTCTATCTATCTGCGTTAACATGTTGAACACTAAATCTGTTTTCATTACACTGAAATACATTGTGCTGTCCTTAAAGGTACAGTGTGTACAACTGGGAGTATAGATAAAATGCCCCTTTGCTCACCCCTCCTGTGACGGTGGCCTTTAAGGAAAAGACGCAAGTTTTTACAACTTGAAGTGCCAATAATACAACACTTTTGCAAACAACAACTCTCCTCTTTTTGGGAACACAACTAGTGCTTTTCACATGGTTATTTGCTAACAACAGAAACTCGCCATATGACCGTTTAGGACTGAAACACTGCTAACAAACATGTTATTTCATAAGTTAGAAAGTTGGTACATCTACTTAGACTGTTGAGTCGAGCTGCAGTTATAGTGCGATTAAGTTATTTAGCTAGGATATGGTCTTTGTTTAAACATCGGGCAAGACTTGAATACAAAAGCATGCTAGCCTCAGCTATGGTGGATGCTAACAACATGTTACTAATAAGTCTCCTCTTGGTTGACCTGTTGCATACCAAAACAAACCTGTTAGCAAGTGGCTAACAGGACGTATTTGTGTCCAATTATTCTTTGTCTGTCAAGGTTTTGTTGACTACCCGGTTTCCTTGCAACCCATTTATGCTATTCAATCTCCTCAAAGTTGTGTGAAATTTGGAGAACGCATAGGCTAGTTTCAGTCTAATTGAGCGTATGCATGGAAGAGAAAATCAATCTCCAACTGCACCTAGTATGATAGTCCGACTAAAAAGTTCCATGTAACGTAAATTCAGTTGGATTACTGCGCTTGCATGTATTTGAATAATCCAGTTTCTGTCGGACTAACGCAATAAATAGATTTTGAGCATTGACTGTATATACTATGGACAACTTGGTTCTGCCTTCCGCCAGTATACGGATCTGAAGCCGAAAAACTCTTTCTCCACTTCCTGAAACCAACATTGCGCAGCACATCGTACGCAACATGAAAACATACTGAGTGTATGGAAGTCAGCATTTTGGATCGTCTCTCTAACACACCTGTCCTGACAAACAAGTAATACTTGTTGATTTAACTGTGTCCCACTGACTGGCTCGATTTTGTTACCAATGGCAACACATCTTGGCAATCTAACATCTGACTGTTGGGCATCTCTAAATGTCCCCATCTCTCCACATACTGTATAGGAGTCTTTTTCATGGCAGAGTCTGGGAACCTCTGGTCTAGGATTTGCTCTCATCATTCAGTGACCCCCGCATAAATCCTCCATAAGCACTTAGCAGCATTTCGGGTCATGTCTAAACTGTTTAAACTGACATCTGAAACTTCTCAGACTCTGTATCTACAGGCCTGCCTGTGTTTAGTTTGATGCTGCAGGTAATAGCCCCACATTCAATATGTGTTTTCTGCATAAACAGATTATGCAGTGTTCCCACTGTTTGTGCAGATTAAACGTTTTTTTGCACACTCTGTTTCAGCGTTTCGCCGCCGAAGCTTCACATTCACACCTGCGGAAGCCATAACCAAAGCGTAGGCGTTGAAATAAGCAGCATATTTTCATTTCAGAATGTTTCTCCACCCCTGTGGATATGTGCACCATCTTAAGCCATTCCTATGGAAATGTGGGACTGTTAGAGAAGCAGGATAGTCGGAAGAGAAACACAATTACCATGAGCAGCCATTTTCCCCATTCTGCCGACCAATCCTGGCAGCGCTGCGTTTGATCGATGCAGGGCCACCTGCCACGCCGTGAGGTGTGCTTAGATACTGGAACATGCTACCAGCCAGATGTCATTTGCTTAATGTTGTGTAGATATTGCTGCTATAATGACAGAATATCAGGGCGCATGTTTCCTCTAATGCAGCACAGGAAAAGATGCCAGCAGAGGAAAGTGAAATGGTGAACAGGGAAATGTTCTAGTGAGGAAAATAGGGAAATAAATCAAGAGTAGAAGCTCGAACTGCAGCACTTTGGCTCGTTACACGAAGGCAGAAAATAAAGTAGTGTGTGTAAAAACACACAGTTTCTCCAGCACATTGACCATGCAGCTGGGAGCCATGCTAACGCAGTCCAGATGAGGAATGATATCATGGTTTACTGGTGATAGCAGCTGCTGGATGTTTATGGCGGTGTGAGAAGGCTAAGGATGATATGATCTACAAACAAAGATGACACAAAATTAATGTCTCTTTAGGAGGAAGAGCAGCGAGTGCTGAATCATCGTGTTCTATGTTGTATTTTTCTGTTTTACTTTAAATGACCGATAGTTTATCCCCAATTTTGAGCATTTTATGCAGTCATACGGTTCATTCAGTAAGTCTTATAAAGTTGCAAACAAGTAATGTTTTGGAAACAGTTAGTTATTATCAGGAAGAAGCCTCCAGAAAAAAGTAACAACAGTCACATCATGGCTGCTTAAGCTCGCCACTTCACTGTTGACCCCTTTATAAACAAAGGCCTGTATGAGCTGGATTTGCATTTCAGCTGGTAATAAATCTAAGGGCTTGTCCAGCTATAAAGAGCATCAGAGAGTCTTATGGGACCTCCAGCTGCAAGTAAGACAACAAGAGCTGGTAATGTAACAGTAGCTAATGTAAAGACTCAACTTTAACGTCATTGTGTGGTTACCAATGATTGTATATACTACGGACAGCTTGGCTCCGCCTTCCGTCATTATACGGATTTGAAGCCCTGAAGTGTCAATCATAGAAAACATGAACCCCTTAATAACTTTTAAAAACTGAGCTGCACAGACAAAAAGAGGACTTAAGCACAAACCAGTCTTACAGTAACTACATGTCAACATCGCAACCAGAGGGGAGAAAATTTTGTATTCTGTGTAATAAGTGTCTAAAGTTTGTCCACACCTCTATAGGGATTGCTGGAGGAGGCGGGATTTATGACCTATACTGCAGCCCGTCACCAGAGGGTGCTGTTCTCGCGGTGGCTTCATCCAGTGAGGAGGCAGATGGCGTCCATTCTATATACAGTCTATGGTGATTATAAAGCTGAGTGAAAAGTAACGCTGACATGCGGTGTCTAACTTTAAATCATCAGTAAAGCAGCAAAAACAAGGCGATTCAGACAGAGGCAGAATAGAGCTGGAAATAGGGTTTTCATAGATGCCTGAATAAGATAAATAAAGTTGAAAATCATGTTAAGTTACTCCAAATGTGTCCTAAACTGTATACTATATGTATCGTTTTGAAGCCCGTCTGATTCCTGATTAACACTTTAGCTAGATAGCTGCTGCTGCTAACCAGGCTAAAGCTAACTGAAGCCAAACAAAAAATAGCGGTGTAAGAGTGGGAAGCTGCAGTGATGATGTTAAACAGACTGATTTCTTGCATTATTTCCAGAGGATGAGGAACATGAAGACGATCAGTTACACTGTTGGCATTGTTGCTAATAAGACGTTTGCTTTATGCCTCTTGTTGCCTTGAAGAATGACTTGGTGTTTTTCAGTGATAAAGTGTTTAATTTGACAGCTAAATCTCAAACTTTCTATAACCACCCCCAAAAATATTGATATGCTAGATAAATAAACTGATATCAAACTTGCTACGCCAACTAAACTTCAGCACAAACTAATCCAACAAAGTTAAAAGTTATTTGTTTGCCCTGAAATCTAATTTCTCTGAGAGAAAAACATATTGATGAAAGTTTTCAGCTCTTCAACTTTCTGCTTCCTCCTCCTTTCTTGAACAGACAAAAGCACTTTGAAAAGAGAAGCTCGAGCAAATGGATTTCCAAACATGGTAATGTAACTCCTCTTCTTTACTGCCCTCCTTTTTTTTGTATTTACTTTTAATTTGTATTGATCTTTCGCCTGCACCTCAATTTTGCTGATGTCAGAAAGGTGAGGGAGCATTACAATATACAATACTTTCTCTCCCCTCCTTATCGTGGAGGAAATGAAAAGCAAATGGCACCTTTGTCCAGGACGTGCGATCGTCCAGGCGGAAGGGCTTTTGAAGCGCGGGGTGAAATTGAAAAGGTTGCAGGTTCACATCCCCGGACAATGACAGCCCCTCTGCCTCCACTCCTGCCGCTCACAGGAGATTAGAGGAGCAAGAGAGATAAGGCGCAGCATTGGCTAAATGTTTTTTTTTCCCGAGGATGGACAGATCGAAAAGCTGAAGTGCTCCAGTTAGCCAGAAGACAGACAAATAGACAGAGACAGACTGGCGGAGCAGGGACACAAAGTGAATCATTCAGAACTGACCTTGGCGTGATTGTTGTGTGTAAACTGGTCTGCTGGTTCCCAGATAAAAAGGCCGGGTACACAAGATCAATAATAAATCACAGTATCAAAGAGTGGATTTTAAAAAACGTATATAAAGTCGACGGGTGCACCAGGAGGGAAGGAGCAAATATTTCCAGAATTAACTGCACTTGCAGTTCATTTGTTATGCAAAATGTTCAGTCGAATGGAGCTACAGCCACACACCCAACACAAATTCTCGTGAGCGGTGCAGATTCTTGCTGCTTTCCATGACCCACATAAAATATGATAATGCATGCAGTCAGCCTGCAAAATAGGTGAGGCTTTAGGGAATTGATGAAGGACCACGGTGCAGAGAGGGCCGCCGCACACACCGCTCCTCCGCAGACGTCCCGCTGCTCCCCCGGGACACACACTGTCCTCCCCGCTCGCTCCCCGGGCCACTCAGGCTCCAAATTAAAAACTAAATGAGCCGCTATCATTGTTGCATCTGTAATGTGGTGAGTATTCACTGTACCTCCTTCAGATTTAGTTTTAATTGTTTCTGTCGTCCCTGGAAAGAATCTCAGGATGTGGTTTCTCTACAAGGAACGGTACTTTTAAAATTTTAGTCAGTGAAAGTTGTTTTAGTCGAAAATAAAAAGACTTCAAAGTTTTCACAGAAGTTTATAGTATCTAAACTTTTTACCTTTAAGGAAAATAAAGGAGTAGGCAGTTCATTAGATTATTGAGTTAGATTATGCCATGAACAGCGAAACAATGATCAGTCTCTGTCTCTGTTCCCGTTTGTTAAAGTTCCTATAAGGTACTTTTTAGTTTGCGGCTACTTTGGCGCCCCCGTGTGGCTTATTGTGTCTTCTATATGACATAAATAGTTTCTCCAGACAAAAAATAATAATCCTGCCAACTTTTAACGGTCGAATGCATGATTTATTTTGAATAGTCAAAGTGAAATTTGAAAAAAAGCTGGGTTTTTTTAGCTTCTTGGTGAACACCTTGCCCCTCGAATTAATTAAAAAATACAAAATAAACATCTTCAGTCGTCTCACTGATGGCCTTGTTTGCTTTCGTATATCATAAAAAGGGATCAACATGAATTTAAAAGTATTTCATGAAGGTGGAAAACATCCTCACAGTAGCTTTAAGACAGATTATAACCATAAATAATACTTTGAGCTTTAACTACATTTATATTTTAACGGTTCTGTATTTCCTGTATTTTGCTCTTGTTGAAAATTTGTTAAATTCTTCTCAAGACCCTGAACTGAAATCATTTTCTATCTCCGCTTAAACATCTCGACTAGATTACTCACATATCTGACTCAAAAATACCCTTCCTGGTTATCGTCATTCAAGGCTAGCCCTTCTGTAAGCTTACTGTGGGTTTTATACTTTCAAGGCTCGTGATAAATTTCCTGCTCTAACACGGATCTCATCACTGACCGTACAGGTTTGCATTTGCAGGATGAATTATGTTCAGACATACTTCATCTTACATGCAGCATTAAATATTACCTGCAGCTACGGAGAGGTAGGAGCTGCACACGAGGAAAGGTGAAAACCTGAACATGACTGCGTTTAAAGAGAATTATTAAAGTGCAGCTTTTGGGGACAGTGCGGTCCGTCCATCTGTCTGTCAGGACTGCTGATGCGCCTCCTGTGGGTTTCGGACCCACCTGATGTTTGAATTAGCAGGTTTAAATGACAGGGCCGCCTCAGAGAGACGCCCACGGGCCCCGCTCTCCCAGGGTTTCAAAGGCCCGGCGACCCGGTTGCTGTCGGCTGTCAGGGAGGAGATGGGAACGTGTGGCGGAGAGATAACCCGTACAGGACAGAGCCCAGAGTCGTGCGCCTCTTTGACAGGCTTATTAACGGGAAAGCGGCGAGGAAAAAAGCCCCTATCGGCAGAGGGATCAGGAGAGAAGAAACCTTCCCTTATCACCAGGACACCAGGGATTAAAGCCTGGCCTGCTCTGATAAATTAATTATTCTCTCTTATCTGTCATGTTTAAAGACTGTCAGACAAACCCACCTAGAGCCACAGTGCTGGACGACCTGCACTACCGTGAGACAGAGGAGAGCGCGAGGCAATCAGACTTGACTTTACGCTCAGTTTTCTCTGGATGCTCTTTTGTCCGGTCTGCTTTTAACAAACAAAGAAGAAAAAAGTAAAATCTTTGACTCATCTATTTTATCGTACTTTCCAGTCCGTGTTAATTTGCTGTACTTTTGTTCCCTTTGTGAGTTTGTTTTTAAAGACCCCACCTGATGAAATGACTTGTGTACCGAGAATAAAAGGCCAGCGTTGGCAAAAAGGGGGAGCACCTGGGAGAATTACCGGTGGCTTACTTAATGTAAAAATGCAAAGAGGAATCAAAGCACAAAAACAACACAGTCACTCAGAGCACAGGCAGCCAGCCCCCCCGCCTGCTTTTCACCTGAAAGGAAAAACAGCCAGGCTGAAAACAGAGAGGAGCCGCAGAGGAAAGTGCAGTTAAATGCAGCAGGATGGCAGATATGTCCACCAGGAGAGGACATTATTGAAGCCGTGGTCACAGGACTGCAAGGAGCATGTCCTAACATCACAAAAATTCATCCTCGCATCCTCTAACGGGGCTCAGGACAGGAAACAACATTCAATACTTTTCTCATCATGCCACAACTCCATCAATTTTCCTCTGCTTAACCAGGATTGGGCTGCAAGGCCAGCAGTCTCAGCCAATCAATCTCAAGGGATCCTGAGGCGCTCCCAGACCAGATAGGATATATAATCCCTTCTGGCAAGCTCTGGGCCAACCTCGAGGTCTTCCTCCCACTGTTCATGCCCCGAACACCTCCACAGGAAAGCCTCCAGGACGTATCCCAAAAAAATGCCCAAACTGCATCAGCTGACTCCTTCAGATGTGAAGAAGCAGCAACTGTGGACACCTACATTCACAGGGGAGGTCCTACAGCTGGGTGTTAGCTCTTTCTCCTCCAGAGAAGTGAGTCAAACTTCTGCCACAAAGTTTGTAGCAGTCAGAAAGTACTTAAATAAGCTGTAATTAATACACAAAACTTGAAGACATCTTTTAAAACTCCGTCTACAGATTTCAAAACATCCACCTTTCTTCTCATCTCAGCTTTAAGCTCTAGTTTCTCTGTTTTATTTTGGTTTCTTACGTAACTCTTAGCCTATTTTCGCTGCTATTTAACATCCTGCTGTCTTCCTTTGCCATTATGCAGCTGTCAGCTCCCTCCTCTAATTAACTGCCATTCACATTAGCTTAGCTCATGTCATGAACGCCACGGCAAGGAGTCATGAGTCATCATGTGGGGCGCAAAGTGTCATCCAAGGAGTCAGAATTTTGGAGACGAGATGAAAATCTAATACTGTGTAGTGGGGATGTACGGGGCCTGCATCAGAAACAGACATGACTCTGTAGTGGGACTCACTGCATTTACTCAAAATTAGTCCTAAAAACTGTGTCTCTGTGTTTTTAATGGGTTTATGGAAAATCACACAATGCACAAAGTGGTTCAGATCAACTTTAAAGGGATATTCCAGCATAAAATTAATTTAAGGTCAAACACATTTCAAACATTTATGATCATTTCTTGAAGTAATAATCACCATATCAATCATTTTACACTGCAGACACAGTAGTTCTTCTGCCTTAGCGTTTTTCCTTGAGCTGCGTCACCCTGCTGTAGTCCATAATGGGGTCTCGCTACAAACAAGCGGCTGCTGGAAGAGAGTAGGTGAGTTGTGTTTAGTCTCTTTGCTAAAGAAAGAAGGCAAAGTTAAAAAGATGTTTGGTGGCTGGGACCCTATATGTCCTGTTGATGAAGTTAGGTGCTGTTCTGAGTATTATTTGTGGCTATAGAGTGACGTTTTGGTTGAGGTTTGTTTATGGCTCCTCAGACCGCTGTGTATTGCTATCGTGCGGTCTTTACTAAAGTTGGTATAACTAGAGAAGCAAGCGGTCGGCAACATTCATCTCTCGAGGGGGTGTCTAACTCGGTGTTACGGTGCGTTTGACCCTCAATTAATTTTACAGCCGAATATCCCTTTAAATTCCCAAATTGATTCATAGCCAAATAAATGCAAATAATAATAATTGGTAGACTACACAGATGCAAATAACTTTGATTTTACTTGTGTAATTCAGGTCTTACTGCTCTATTTATTGTACTAGCTGTAGTAAGTGGTCATGGCAGTGGTTATCTAAGAAACCTCAGGCAGCACTGCATTAAAAACAGACATGACTCTAAAGTGGGAATCACCACATTTGCTCAAAAACCATGTCTCTGAAAACAGCTCATTATCTGCATTATTCTCATGGATTTATGCAAAATCGCACAATGCAAAAAAGTGGTTAAGAGCGCTTATACACGCACACACGTATATATTTATGGATATCTACATCAAAGAACAGCTTTCGGCCTAGACTGATTCTCTTGAAAACTGAGGAAAACAAAGCACATAAACAGAATTCATCAAAGAGCGTCAGATCTCCTCCCCTCTCTGAACACGGTTTACATTAAAGGAAGTTGGTCTTGGATACAGACACATACACCGTCTGTGTCACAACCCGCCCTTTAATGCCCTTGAGGGAGCTGCTTGAAGTCTGTCAGCAGCTCACCTCCAGCCTGAGAGGGGCAGAGAAGCAGCAGCACACCTGGAGGGTGATTGACAGGGCCGGGCGAGTCTGGGGTTTTCACCAGCACCTCTGCAATAATAGCGAAAACGTGAACGCTGGGAATATTAATGCCCTTCATATTTTATTAATTCTGAATCTGAGGGATATCAGCTTGGTGCATTATGAAAAGAAAACATCAATCCTGCAGAGGTAATGAGCGCCGGAGCAATTTGGGGGTGAGGGGAGCAGGAGGGGGGAGGAACCGTGGACCCCTCTGGTTATGTACCGAGGGAGATGGAGGAAACTAATATTTGACTGTCTGCTGTTCGGTATCGTCCGTTAAATGAATGCGCCCCAGGGAGGTAACACGGCGCAGCGGCTTATGCTGTGCTGCTAATCTGGTTTAATGTGTCCATTTTTGTTTGACATCTCACCTGTTTTGATATTAAAATATTCCACGTGTGTCTGAAAAATGGGAGAGGAAACTAAAATTACCTTTTACAGCATGTATTCCAGTTAATAAAATGACAATACAAAAACATGTTATTACATCTGTAACTGCAACTTCAACTGTCTATGAAAAATTGGGTTGCTCCAGGCTAAACTACAGGGTTTCTCTTTCAACATAGCAGGGGTTCTGCACATACATGCTGTCTTTTCTTGGCTAAACTTAACTTTAACTCGTGTGAAATCTAATCAGAAATAAATCTGATAGGAGGAGGAATCAGTCCTCGTGATTTGACAGTCTTTAAACGCACTCACAGATCTGAACGTTACTAAAGGCTGTGAATTCACCGCGCTCCTTTAACTTGTAACTTACTATCAGTAGTCTGTCTTTCAACCTGTCACTCCTGCGCCTGGCAGCACCATCGCGTGTGTGTGCGTTTGTGTGTGCGTGCGTCTGCCTCTGACTGAGTGTGTTTTACTTCCTTGATTGAAGTGTGGGGCTTTGTTGTTTCTCAAAGCTTGTCACATATTTTAAAGCATCAAACTGACATGACAGCGTGCCAACTGCATTAAGAGTGACACGTGGCTTCCTGAAAACATGCATATGGAACAGCGGGGAAAATGCCGTCAAGGTCAGGAGACATAAAAAACAGAGGGGGGTGTAAAGCCTGTCGGAGGATTACAAAGTCGCAGACATGTGTTGAGGCATTTCAGACCATCTGCGCTGAAAGATCCTGGAAGTCAACGCGCAGGTTTTGATGAATTGCGCGGGCCTTGTCATTATTTGTTTGCAGCGTCACTTAAAAGTGGATTGCGGGTGTGATGGCTTTGCCCCGTGGAATTAAACCCCAACAATGGGACGCCTGTCTCTGTGCCACATATTGTAAAAAACCTCCCCTCTCCTGTCTCCGCACCAGCAGATGCCAATAGCCTTCAGTGCGAGCAGGTGTTTGTCTGTGTGTTATTGTTGGAGGAACGGGCATGTGATGTGATTACGTGATGTGAGCAGATGGATGTAAGAATAATAGTAGCTGCCATTTACCACGAGCCATTCAGTGTCATTTTCTTATATTCAGGATTTCAGAAAGACTTGATTTTACATATGGAGCACAGGCACCCTAATTACATGATAGATGTTCACTATCCTCCAGGGCAGTACATTGTTCTCAAATGGGTACAAAAAGACAGTTTAATAGCGCCTGGCTATGCTGCAGTTGCCATTTCAAGCAGGCCATTATGTCTAATCATAAAACATCTGGAACGCATCAGAATCTGCTGCTCTGATGCCGCCATTAGGGCTGCGATCGCTCCGACTTCCTCCTCTGTGTTTATTTGGATGGCTCCGGGCTGAGCGGCAAAGCGAATACTTGAGACTAATAAAAGTGATAAATGATTCCTCCCTGATTCAATGAAAGTTTCAGCGCTTTCTCCACCGCCACGATAAATCATATTCCGAGATGATGCCACAGCCCATTCACAGGCCACATCAGTCAGCGGCTGTCCCTCAGCCATGACATTTCATCCTCTTTCATCCTAATAAAACATCCCTCTCCTTATTGGCTGTATTCTCCTGCCTCTGAAATCTACTCCACCTTCGTAACGCTAAGTTACATTCAGATGTGGCTTTGACTCATATTTTTACACGTTAACGGGTAACAGCAGCACAGACGAAGAACTGAAGTCTGGAAATAGTGCTGAGGTAATAACAGAGCTTCTTAAAGGTCACTGTAGTGTTGGGATTCAAGGCCTTGACGGCTAATGTGAGATTTTAGCAATGGTTTGTGCAAGGGTGCAATCTGCCGTGCAGCACTGACATCATGGGACTCAGATGGAGTAAGGAGGCGACAAGGAGAAAATACCAGAAATGAGGAAGAAGGAACTTAAGAGATGGTTTAAAAATACAGTTTGAGACGATTTTTCTTGAAATATAATAAAAAGTGAGATCAATGCAGCAGGTTTATTGAACAACCATTTAGCAGCTGGTGTCATAAATACATGAGGAGATTCTCACTGTGGTGAGAGGCTTCCAGGAGACTGAAAGGAGATAGTTTCTGCACTGAGGCTGTCCCATTGAACTGTGGATCGATACTGAGCTAAAAATAAACATACGGTTATACCACGAGTTTATAGCTGTAGTCCCCGCGCTGGTTGGCACATGTCATAAAAGTGGGGAAGAGATGAAGAAGAAGAAGAAGAAGAAGAAGCTGCTGGTGAGGTAGCTGTAGCAGCCTTCTGGGAGATGATTCAATATTTTTATTCACTGATATTCAAAGATTTACTGTGAATCCAAACACAGTTTAGGAGCCCTTGTCTCTTTAGATTACTGATTCATAGTTACTTTACCATTAACAAGGAATGAAATTATGATTAATAATTTTCATTAATTGTTAATGGACTATTTATTAAAGGTTTATATAGGGTTTAAATATTGGTTGTAAAACATCTAAATTAAGATGTGTGTCAGTAACACTTTGTGAATGATTAATAAGTGGTTTATAAATCACCCATAAACATTACTTAGTTATTATAAAGTTAAGGTAAGGGTTAGGATTAGGTTTTTTAAAATTGTAAAATTTACAATTTATTGATGTTAAGTGTATAATCTGCAGAAAGTTGCTCATACTTCAAAATAAAAGCATGTATTAAATCAAGCAATCTGAACACAAGACAGAAAAGTATCAAAATAAAAGCATGGCCAGTTAAGCGGATGAGTCACAAATTTGAGCGTCATTACAAATTAATTAAGACTTGTCAGCTGTGTTTCATAATATAGTTTATTAAGTATGTGTTGTTATGCTTTTGTCTCACCTTTCCTCTGACTGATTGTGTGTTGTTGTTTTTTTTGAAGTCTTCTGAAAATTACTTCTATGATTTATCCACAGCACCAGTTCACGTCAAAAAGGAAGATATTGGCTTAAAAAATGATTGTTTGTCATGCTTTTATTTTGACATTTTTTTGTCTTGTGTTACGGCTGTTTCATTCCCCACACTTTAAAACTACACCTTTATTCTGAAGGATACTACTTCTGGTAGATCTCATTACAGAATAGGAAAATGATTTCACAAAAGCCTTTGAATGTTCTGAATCATGTCTCAGAAAGCTGCTACAGCCAGCTCACTAGCAGCTACCGCTTCTTCTTCTTCGCCTTTCCTCTTTGTTAAGTGTGGCAATGACTGCCAATAACCCATGTTATTGCTGTGTGCTCATATGTAGCGCTATATTGATGCTTTATTTGCTTAAAAAGACTATTTTGGTCGATGCTGGTATTGTGCGACAGCTGGATCAGATACTTTCAGTTTTGTCCACACTGTAAGGACGTAAATAACATATGAATGGGCTCACAGTAGATTGTCACTTACTTGTGAACTCCACGTGTTGTAGGTTTCACCTCAGTTGTGTAAAGCTCTGGTTCTTTCGCCCTCTTTCAAACCTTTAAAGACAGAGATTGAATCAGTCTCTTAACGGAGCTAAACTCTCATAAAAAAGGAATAAGTACAAGATGAACAACTACCATCACTGTCAATCGCTTTAGTACCAGAGTAATCTTGATGGTACAGACGATTATAATGTCATTATTGATATTAAGTTAGAAATACGTCCTGACATCCTTTGTTCGAATCAGCATCCCCACCACAGAAGCCTCCTTGGACTCAAGCCAGACCTTTATTCCTGGCATCATATATTTATATGGGAGAAGTCATTTGGAGCCAAGGAATAGTTCAAATGGGCTCAACTGCATGGTGAATAATTTAAGATTCTATTAACATTTAAATTTGACATTGATTTGACACAGTCAGGCTTCTGCTAAGTGACAAGAAAAAGGAAGGTTGTGGGGGGGAAAGATGCCGCTCAGTGGGAACCAGATGGGTTTAAATCTAATTATTTATTTTAGATTTTCCTCACATCTGTTTGAAACTTGTAAAGAGGCATTTCTTTTACTAGGATATCCATACACGAGTTCCCTGAAGCCTGATTTCACGTTTCCTTCAAGTGTACGAGCCTCGTAAGTTGGACAGAAATCACCTTTAAGGCGGCGAGAGGAAGAGTGAAACTGAGCCAAAGTGAGCAGGTGTATGTGTCCGTGTTTGTTCATAAGAGAGATCACAAATCAATAACCCCGGGTCATCTTCTCCAGACAATCCTAACTTTGCAGATAAGGCAGCACAGGCCAGGCAACCTCATCGCCTTTTAAAGATCTGTTTACACAGAGACAAAGACAGGGAGGGGAGACCTTTTAATAGGACAGAGCTGCCAACAACATTCAGGTCATTGAATTTAGAGCCAGCATTTAGTGGACACATGCCGCCTTAGCTCAGGTACTCTCAGTTTGTGTACTTAGACAAGTACCAGCTCTGTTATGTCTGAGGATTATAATGTAAATGTAAAAGAACTCTACAGCCACTTTGGTTTGTTTACTCTAGTCATGATTAAAACAGAAGTTACAGTCATTATTATTCAGGCAGACACGATGGCATTTACCTCGCAGAATACAAAGGAGATTATTTCAGGGGGCACACAAACCGGGGTGGATAAACAGACAAACCACTCTCACAAACAAATTAATCCCAAATGAGAAAAAAAATCAGAAGGAATTAAATGGAAATGTAAAAAAAAACAAGAGCAAAGACCAAAGAAATGACAAGATTTGTCTGATGACGATGCTGCTTCAGGACGCGACTGAACGTTTCAGGGGTTACTATATAGGAAGTAGTCAAGCTAGCTCTAAAAATGGTGTAACTTTTTAAGGAAAGTTAGCATGTTGGGTAAAAATAAATGAAGTCACCTCACTCAGGCATCAGAAGAGACAACTATGATAGAAAATAACAATGGAAAACAGGAAAGAAATGGATGCCAGTTTGACAACAACGAAAGACAAACCGAAGTTCATGTAAGGCTGGTTTGTGTGAGGCGCCCTCTAGAGGCTGCCCTGCTTCACGTATAAAAAGGACTCATGAGGTTATTACAACAACAAAGTGCTTATCTAGATATATCTACTGATATCGGCTTTACTGAATAATTTATTATTTATTATTATCCATTATTTATTGAATTTCCCATTGGGAATCAATCAAGTTCTTCTTCTTCTTCTACTCTGACAGTAGCTGCGTTTACATGGGTACATATAATCAGAATAAAGGCCCGATCGGAATAAAAATACGTCACGTAAACATGTCAATCAGAAGATTCTGATTCTATTCTGCTCAATGGGAAAGAAATTGTATTCCATTTCAGCTATATTGTATATATTGGTTTATGCCGATCGTTATTCTGAAACGCGTCCGGTGCAACCTTTGACAGGACAGTAAAATGAGTACGTAAGGGCGCCATCTAGTGACAATATTTAACAGGGGGGAAAACTCCTGAATTGGATGGAGTGAGCCACTACCGTGTTTGTTGGTTTGTAGACCGCGCAGGGGTAGATACAACTCTTCTTTTTCTGTGGTTGTTTTATTGAAATCAGACAACTCTGCACATGTCCAAATGCTTCTAATCTGAATAAAACTTTCTGCATGTATACGCACGTCATGATCTGACTATTTGATTTTGCACCTATATTAATAGTAGAGTCAGATTTTCCGATCCCTCAAATTTTTTATCAGATCAAGAAATTTTGTAAACATGGCTATGGTTAAGGGAATATGAACCCCAAGAAGAAGAAACACATTTTCGTGTAATTTACACACAGTCCACAGATCTTCAGTTTGATGCAAGATGCAGATTCATGAAAAGGTAAAAATGTAAGCTGTATTTGTGTCTGTCAGATCAAATAAAAACAAATAGAAAAATAATAAAGAATTGTCATAGATGTGGATGTAAAAGTCATGAAAACAAATATTCCTATGATCATTCTGCTTTCTTCTTTATCACATGTTTGATAAAACCTTACATTACAACCCCACACACTGTAAACATCCAAACAGATTAAACACCTACAGAAATGGGAGAATAGAAATCGAGGTTAAGGAAAAGAAGCAATCTTCAACACTGTTGGCAAGAAAAGCAGACCTGCTCTATAGAAAATAAAGAAAAGGACTGGCTGTTTTGGCTTTATTTTGATGATACTGGCTGTTTTCTCCCTCTGCTGTATTGCTTAAAGTCAGGAGGTCAGTTGGATAATTGTATCTGCCGAGTAACTTCTGCAGTGCAATCACCGGCGAGGGAGAGTTTCATCAAAAGCAGATGAAATTACTTTTTTCAGGGTTATGAACAATCAACAATGGTTTTTCAGACGCACCAACAATACAACGCTGTCTGTCAAGCTGCTGGGAGGCGAAAAACAGCGCTAAAAATATCAATCAATACAATCTCTGTAGGAGTAAGTCTGAGTCTTCTGGCGGAGATTTGTTAATAAAGTGAGATTACTGCGATATTATCTTTCCTCACTACTTCAAACTACTTGTAGCTTCAGAGGAGAAGATATATTATGCTAATCATACATTTCAGTCTTTGAACCGAGCTCTAAAAGCTACACCGGCAGAGAGTGTTTGAATTCAGCAAAGAAGGAATCAAGAGCTTTAGAGCCGCAGTTACAGGTGTTAAAAGCTCCTTTTATCCTCCTAAGACGATGATATAACATAAAAGACGTTTCATTAGATATTTTGAAAACTTATTCAAGTGGAAAAGTTTTTCTGCTCCGAGGTGAATAAATCTCTCCTCAATCTAAATCTCACTTTTTGTCTTTAAGGGGACAGCACGTGAAGTCTGCATGTGAAGTCTCTTGGCTCGACTATAAATGCGAGACTTATTCCAGTGATGTAATGAAGTAGAGCTGCATTATGGGAGTTGATGTCTTTATTCTGAAACTGCAGGTGCAATAAAGTTAATGGAAGTGGAAAAGTTTAACTTTGATAAATGTAATATTTCTTCTGCAGCTTCTAAAGTGAACTTTTCTTGATTATGTTCTCTAAACACACAAAACTACGAAAGAAGGTTTGGGGCCACATGAAGAGAAAAAAAAATACTTACAGGAACGAGATTAAAGTTAATATATCAAGATTAAAGTCAACATGAATTAAGTTGAAATTTCGTGAATTGAATCAAAATTTTGAGATTACAGGCGAAATTACGAGATTGGAGTCAACACAGATAAAGACGAAAGTTCATGAATAAAGTCGTAATGTTAAGATTAATGATAATGAATCAACAGGATTGTCACTCGACAACATGTCCTCTGTAGGAGAGTTTGTAAAGCTGGACTTGAGAAGTGGATTTAGTAACAAGGAAATCCTTGCTTATTTAGCACACAAACACAGTGTGGTAATAAGTATTCAGACTCTGAGAAGACTGTGCCAAAGTTTATGATGCAGATGCAGGGTTATCGATGGTTACACCTGCGTGCTATACAGTGAGGCTTTGTTGTATCACAAGATACAATTAGACAACTGATCAAGTTGATTGATCCTGAAGAAGTGGAGCATACGAGCACGATGAGCCCGGCGTCTGAGGCGCAGGTGGTGATACTTTTTCTTTGTAGGAAGGTAGGGAAAGTCCCGCCTCCTTCACCTCTGATTGGCTAGAAAAGCTGGAAACGTCATCACATGCTCGAACAGAACATTACAGAACATTATTGCACTTCTGATTCTCCTAACCCTAACCCTAACTCTAACCCTTAGCCTAACCCTAACCCTCACCTGACAGAGGATGACGTAGCACTTCTAGCCAATCAGAGGCAAAGGAGGGCGGGACCTTCGCCTACCATCCTACAGGTATAACTGAAGCCAAGGACCAAAAGCGCTCTGACACGTGGATGTCTATGACAAATTTAAGCCACAGTCTACGGCATTTCATTTCAACTTTAAAAATTTTGACTTTAATCTCAAAATTTCGACGTTGATCTTGTTCCTGTAATTTTTTTCTTTTCTTTACATGTAGCCCTAATCCTCTTTTGTACAAAACACTGAGTAGATACTGTGCAGGACTTTCATTTCTGCACATACATTTCTATATTCACCGTGTTGCTCACATGTCAGATATTCATGATATATTTATCAAGCAGCTGTACTGTGAGAACATATACAGTATGCATGTGTATTCAGGGGTCCATAGTGAGTTTGTGCCTGGGGCTTACGGTCATGAGGATCTGTCCATGCATGTCAGTAACGCAGTGCATGGTTCAGGAATAATAATGAGGTTTTGACATCAACGGAGCTACAACAGCTCCAGTTATGTTGTAGAGCTGAGTGTGAACCCTGACCTTTGTGGGGTTTGTCTCAGATTGTAGATGTGTGTTTTTTTGTCCAGATCTCACAGTGTAAAGACCACCAACAAGAGCAGAGCATATGCAATAAAACTGATCTCCAGATGTCATGAGTTGCTACATTCTCATTTCGATGAAAATTAGTTTAAATCGGATAATCAGATTTTTTTATTCCAGCCTTCGTTAAATTTAAAGACAAGACTGGCCACAAACAAAGTTGTTGATCACTTTTTTTTCACTGAACTCTTTAATTTTATCGAGTTAACTCCTCATTTGAAAAGGACCATTACCTGCAGTCATCCAGTGAGAATGGGGGAAAAAGCTGAAAACAGTAAAATGCCACCAGGCGTCTTGTGTCCACTTTTGCACGTCCCAAAACTTGTAATGACTATCAGAGTAATCGATGTTGAAAATAGTCATTAGCTGCAGCCTTATTACAGCCACAGTGCCCGGCTGCAGATGGTGCTGACATGTTCCTGTAATTATATTTGATTCTGCGGTAATATCTTGTCAGGGTGCTGTGCAGAGCTAACAGGAGATCTCCTATCTCTCTGAGGAACCGAGTGGCCAGGAAAAAGCTCATTACAGGGTCTGAAGTGAGCGCGTGCAGAAATACCTTTATCCTGCTAAGGTGGGTCCCTGGTGGGACGCGGCAGCTGTCATTTGCCATCAACTCCAGCTGCGTTAATTCCACATAAAGCTCTGATCGCAGCAGACTGCTGGGTCTCCAGAGGACCAGGGGTGTGACAATCATCAGTCAGGTCTGAAAATGGGACATATTACAGATAGGGTTAATCTAGCACAGCCTGAGGAAGTGCCAAGATTCATGTTGTCATAGATACCATATAGGACTGTGCAGCACATTGTGCTCCATATGCTGACCTACACCGTTAAGACTGACTTTGGCACCCCTGTAGTCTGGCCTGTTGATAAACAGAAAAATGCATATTTTCTCCAATTTGAGAGTCTTATTGAGCATCAAAATGATGTTGGGAAAAGGTTTTTGGAAATACGACAGAAAGCAAATTCAGTGTAACTTTTTGTCGTCTCAATAAATCATTAAAGATAAAGATGCAGCTGAGAGAGCAGTGTATGCCCAGTGTGCATGACCGGGGGCACATCTAGGACTTAAGAACATGAAGGACTGAGCCCGGACCCCCTAGACTAGAACCTTAAAGGGATATTCCAGCATAAAATTAATTTAACTGTGTATTGCTATCGTGTGGTCATTGCTAAAGTTGGTATAACTAGAGAAGCAAGTGGTCTGCAACATTCATCTCTAGAGGGGGTGTCTAACTCGGTGTTACAGTGTGTTTGACCCTAAATTAATTTTACGTCGGAATATCCCTTTAACAGGCAAGCATAACTCAAATGTGATGAAAACTAAAAGGTAAGTCCAATCATTGTACATAATGAGGTCTGGGGGAAGTTAACAAAGCTGGACCTGGAGAAAAGTGTAAAAGTGTTCTCCAGGGATGTTAAATTTGGGTTACAGTTGTATATTTCACCTCCTCTCTGCCCCTCTTTTCCTTTTCAGAATTTGTAATGTGATCAACTGTTACTCTAAATTTATCAGCTTCAAAATCCCAAATGCTCGGAATCAGTTGCCATGGTTTCCTGCTGAGAATGTGGCAGAACTAGTAGTAGCAATATGAGTTGCGTAGAAACCACACTGCCAACTAGTGTTAAGGGGAAGTATTGCAGTCCAGCATAACCCAGCAGTACAAACCAGGCTTACCTGACTGCTGCATCATTATGACATTAAACTCCTGAGCCAATAAAGGTGAATGAAAAATCCACTTCTGTGACAAGATAACAAACTTGATGCAAGCGTAACCACGTCCAATACCAGTACTTATGGAACCAGTATAATAATGTTAGCAGGCTATTGTGGATTGGGTTTTAAATGGTTTTTAATGTAAATCCTGGACAGAGAAAGGTTTTCCTTCTACCATGATCTGATTCTCTTTCCTCCTCGTCCACAAGATGCACTGCCATTAAAAGCCAAAGTGACGGTTCACAGAGTAGTCGGTAACTTTCTTGCTTATCTCAAAGTCTCTTACAACAGAACACATTACAATGAGAGAGAGGTGTGCAGGCGGGAGAGGACTTTAATGCAATGACCTCGGCTGCACCGAGTGATAAAACGCCACGCTCTCTGCGCATTTAATCCATCAAACAAAACCCATATACTGAAAAACAGATTCAGCCATGATGTGGTTTCTCATGATGTGCCTTAAAATAAAGACATACAAGAAATTTTGAAGTAAGCAGTATATATATATAAATAAGAGGAAACGGGAACGCAGCTCCCTATTTGGCATAGCGTCACAATACAGCCAACATATGTTAATACAGGAATATGAGCAGCGCTGTGACGCTCAACTATGAATACATTACGAGGTGACGACCAAATAAAACCACACTTTGCCCTCCTGTCACTTTTATGAGGTTGCCAATTGTAAATATCTGCAGCCATCCAGCAGATGGAAGTCGTTTTATGCATTCATGTCCAGAAACGTCTCAGTCTGCAGCTTTCTAAAAATAGTTAGATATACTACGTGTGCACAGAGGGCGATGCTGCTGCTGCTGCGGGTGTCGGGAGCACGGGAGGAAAATAAGACAGTAAATTTCAGTGAGCCGTGTAAAAAAAGCACTGTCTCTACTGAATTAGCTCTGTCAATTCACATGGTGCAATCCCTCAGTCAGTGGAAGCAGTGAAATAAACAGTATGGATCGCCTGAAGTGTTGTAAAGCCCGCTGAGTGCTGTAAAGACACCAAAGGCGGCATTAATAAAAGGTTTCAAGGCTCTCTTTTAAACTCATAGAAACAAAAGTGGAAAAGTTTACAGCCACAACAGCTTCTTTCTTACGTATTTGAGGCTCTTCCTTTTGAAATACAGCAACTAAAATGTATTTTCAGTCAGCATTACTCAAAATATTCATAATAATAAAGCAGCTTGCTCTCGATTTAACTTGGCTGTGCTAATACTTGATTCTATCCTGCATAACCACCTGCTCGCTATACATTATCCTTGACAGAAACACTTTTTGGAGGTTATACTCTCAAGTTCATGACCTAAAACCTCAGAGATAATGAAGAACGAAAAGTCCAGTTTCTAGAAATGATGTTGGGTAATTGTCCACAGTTGAGGTGGTGCAGAAAAAACACAATGTCCTAAAGATCGACTGATAAGTCTCAGCTCCACTGCGAAGTTATTGCTTTCCAGGTTTTAAAACCTCACCTGATTCCTAATGTTTGCAATAAATATTTTTGTTTTTAAGAGTTTTAAATCACTGAACTTCCTCAAAACATCTTTTTCCTGGTTGTACATGTGGCTGAAAGCACCAGTATGTGTTCTTGTGTGTTGCAGAATCCATCACTGCAGATTGGACCCGGCCTCACCTATCAGAGTTGTCTATTAGCCAGGTGACAGGGTGTCTGTAATCACCACCTCAGCAAAGTTCAGACAGACCATTACCTGCACACATAGACACAGACACACACACACGCACGTGGAGTCACACACACATGGTCTTCTATAATCAGTTTGACTGGCCAGACTTCCCTCATCATTACCTCAGGAAACAGGAGATAGAAAAATCCAACCAATACCACATCTCTCTGCTCGGCTGGATGTCTAATGGCAAAAGTACGGTGAGATTTTTTTCATTTTGCATGAGGTCGGGATCCCACACTGCACTCTATCACCGTTAGTTACCCTCACCACCCCAACTATCCGCCCTGAGGATGAATAATTTTGCATATGAGGTGCTGAAATAATCACTAAATGAATCATTGTGAAGTGAATGTCATTTGTCACCGCGCAGATAACGGACAAGCAGGAGTGACGGATGAATCTGCAGGTCAAATCTGGTGGCGGAAAATAAAGCGAGAGCAGGACGGAGGGGCAAAGAGGGGACGGAGGGAGGGGGAGAGGAGACGGGAGTGTGTGTTAATGATATGGTCATATGTACACAGTGGAGCTCAGATGTGATTAAGGCAATGATATGATGGGTGGTGTCGGTGCCCGGCTTAATGACTAATGCAATGAGATGGAATTGGAGGAGACACTGGTGTCAGGCTGAAGTGGAATAATGCCTGGAGCCTGTGCAGCAGCAGACACATGGAGCTGCCACAATGAGCTGCCTCATAAGCACAAATGGTTACGCTAGCTGGAGACTTAGACATGCATAATTAGCCTTTCTGCAGAACAATACAAAACTGAAACTCAGTGCTTTTGACATTCTGTCAGGGAAGTGATAAATAACCAGAAAATATAATGATGATGATTATTTTACTGGTGTGTCACAAAACAGCATCCAGAGCTCTAAATGGATGAACACAGAAAAGAAGGAAGACTGAAATGTATCAACAATAAGACAATGAGCTGGTGGAATAGAGACGACAGTGAACTTAACTGCTCAGTATCATTCAGAACCCAAATATCCTCGGTTAAGAGGATACAGCCTTAATTTCATCACAACATGAGGGTCACGCAGAGTTCTAAAACAAAAGTCTGAAACACACAACTAGATTTTTTTGGTGCAATGTAGTTTTTTTTCTAATTCACAATTATTATAGTAAAATTTAAGTTATCCACTCAGTTAGTTTTTCTCTGCATATCCATCACATAAAGTGCTGTATGATATAATTTTCCTTGTGCATTAATACATATTCAACTGTTCAATACACATGGTTTAACTGTGCAATCTCCCATTCATCATATAATTTTATCATGCACCATATAACTGTAAACAGTGCAACATACATTCTATTCCATACAATTCCATTCAATAAAATATCATTCTACTCAGTTCTACTAAACTCACTTTTATGCAAGTTCTCATTTTAGTTAAATTTTTTATTTTAGCGCTTGTCTTGTCCTTGTTATATTCGGACAAGGCAAGTGCTAAAATAACTTTCGCAGATGTAGCCATCTTGTTTCCGCCTCCGATTTTGCTTTTTCCCGCACTTGGTAATAATTTTTATTAATTATTAATGGACTATTTATTAAAGGTTTATATAGGGTTTAAATATTGGTTGTAAAACATCTAGATTAAAATGTGTGTCAGTAGCGCATTGTAAATTGTAAATATTTGGTCTATAAATATATTGTTAATATTTCTATCTATAAACATTACTGAGATGGTTATTGTAAAGTTAGGGTTAGAGTTTGGGTTAGGGTTTTTAAAATTTACAATTTACAATTTATAAATGATCTATATGCTATTTATAAATGATGATTTGACTATCTGCTTAAAATTTATAAATGGTCTATTTACCATTTGTAAGTTATGGTTATTGTAAAGTGTTACCAACAATTTCATTTCATACAATTTTTTTGTATTTCATTCCATTTTTTAATCAATTATGTTACATTCCATTCTTTAAGTGCTACAAAAAATTTGTTTTGTACAACCCTGTTTGGTTCAAGCTGATCAATCGTAGACTCGAGTTGTTTCTAATACTCTCGTGTTGCATCAGAAGTGTTTGATCTTTACACTGCTCAACAGTCCAGTAATGTTCTGCCTGTATTAAACACAAACCTGACAACACATGAAATCAAACACAAATCTGCGTCATGATGTAGTTCTTAAGTATCTCCCCTGATGGTTGACTGTTATCACACTTGCTTGGTAGAGTACATCAGCCCCTGACAGAAGACTGATGAACAGGGGCCCTGCAGCTGAAATGGAAAGCCTACAGAGGTTGTCACTTCAAGAAATCCTGGACTGACAGAGCTAACAGGTCATCAGACTGGGCACCAGTCAACCTTGAGTAGCTGGAAGCTGCAGTAAACCTAATCCTGACAGTTCCTGGAGAGGAAGATGAACTTTATGTAGCTTTATGCTGTCCTGGAAGATGTAATGAACTCTGACAGAACTGGGTTTGGATTTCCTGTGAGAATTTCTGGAAAGTGTTAAAGTTCTTGTGCTCTGAACAAATTCTCATATATATGAATGATCTCTTTTTTTAATTCACTACCTTTTGCTTAGCTTGATCAAATTCAGAAATCTGTCTTGAGACTGTTCAGCTTGTGCAATAGTGTAAGGTTCTTATCTTCTTGTCTTTCTCTTCATTTATGCTGTTTTGTGCAGATCTTGCAATACATGAGTAATGGGAAATAGATGTTATTTGTTATTTCCTTGAAGTACATGTCTTTAAAATCGCTTATGGATTGTTGTTGATGTTGTTGATTAAGTTTTTTAGTTTATCCCTGCTAGAGAGAGAGCATGAGCAGTACTCTCATCAAAGATACATTTTCTGATAAAATGCCATATTGTATCAAATCGTAGCCTATAGAATATTACATTATGTCTCTTATCTGTTTATCATATCTCATAATGTATCATATTATGTTGTATTCCATCATTATCTTATGCCATAGGATATCTTATAAATCATATCTCGTATTGTGACTTATCTCATAATGTATCTCAAGAATCATATCTCATATCATATTGAATTTCATATCAAATTGAATTTAATATCATTCTGTCATTTTGTATCACATACTGTTTATTGTATCTCATATCATTTATCATATACTGTATCTCATGTATCATATTTCATATAATGTATCTCATAATCATATCTCGTATCATACTGAATCTCATATCAAATTGAAATTAAAATCATTCTGTGTCATAATTGTATCACGTATTATATATTGTATCTCAAAACGTATCTTCTATTTTATCATATTTAATTTCCTATTGTGTCTCATATCATACTGTATCACATTGATCTTATCTCAAATATTGTATCTAAAGTGATATACCAAATTTCGTATCATTGATCGTGTCACATATCGCAACATTGTATCATATATAAGATGATATCTTATCATATACTTTATCTCATATCATATTGTATTTCATATCATAAATCAAAATTTCATATATCCTTTTATCATAAATAAAGTATCTAATAGTATATCCTATTTCGTAATGTAACATACTGTTTCATATTTTATTGTAACATATCCAAATGTATCCTATTCTGTAGACTCATATAGTTTTGTATTGCACTGTATCAAATTATATCATATTGTGTTCTAATAGTACCCATCATCTGTACACTACTGTATCCTATTGTATCGTATTATATAAGATCGTTACCTCACATTTAGAGCACACCTTAATAACTGAACAAGAACCACATTTCTGGCCAAAGGGAGGTTGACTTATAAATAAGGCCAAATCTTAGCTCCATCAGGATGACCAGGGACTTGGCTTGGTTCCACTTTAGTGCTGCTTGGCCTTTCAGAAAACAGAAGTGCTTGCCAGTGCACATCTCCAATAATATCTCTCTGCATACATAAAACGCAGGAAGGGGAGGCTCACAGGAAAGCTCGGATTGTTTATGGTCGCAATATAGATTTTATACAGCTCCTAGGAAAAGGGAATTACGTCTTAAATTACAAAGATGTCTCCGTGAGTTGTCAGCAGTTGGGAGTTATATGGGCCCGCTGGCTAGTGTGGCTGTTTGGCTGCAGGGGACACTGGGGAGCTGAGGGCTCCAGAATGGGGCTTAGCAGATGCAGCTGACCTACAGAACGCGGAGTCAGCTGAAAATAACAAAGTTAGTCAAACCCCCTGATGAAACAATGGCCCAGATGAGGCCAGCGTGTGAAGTACAACAAAGGAGAGGAAGGTAAAGACACACGGCGGTGAAGCACAAACTCAGACAGAGGCTTTGTTCTGAAGTAAACCAGGCACAAAATCAGCGGCTGTTTTTTGATCCTTTAAAAGGTCTTTTGAAAACTGCCCTGAAGGAAACATGTTGCTGTTCTGCATAATAACGTGATTTGAATGTGAATGTGTAATGGGCATCTCTGTCTTGCGTTGTCTTACGTATTTTGTGCGTTTTCAATCATTTAAGTGTGTATTATTCGAAACTGCTGCTGTCTGACTAACGCTGCCTGAGACTCTGTCTTTCTTACCTTCCTTGCAGAATAAATACTTTTTATTGACTGCAGTAACATAAACATGGATGAGAAGTACGGAGATACTTAAACGACAACAATAACAGCAATAACAATAAAGAAACCATTAGGAAAGCTCTTAAGTCATTATTTGAAGCTTTATATACTGTATGTTCTGCTAAGTTTTATACCTTTTACTGCACCCCTGTATATCAGACAATACAACAAATAAATGAACTTAAGGGATTAATTTAGTACCTTAGAGTGGTGAGAGAAACAAAGAACGTTTAAAAAAAACAGAAAAAGAAAGCAGTTAAGAAAACGTGATGTTATATTAAGGCACCTAATAATAAAGCTGTTGAAAGTTAATAAAGCCTGAGCTTTGTATCCCCCTTTTCAATGTATTAAAAGTGCATTAAATATCTAAAAGCCAGCAGTTGTGGGAATTTATGAGTAATTTCTTTTTTTAAATTAAATATTCATAGCCCCAAATTACTTAATTTGTTCTCCTCATTAAAATGTTTCCACAAAATTATGGTTTTACACCCTCTTGTTATTTATTAATCTCATTTAATAGGGCTAATAATGTAGAGCGGCTGCAGCAGAAAGAAGTGGATTCCCCGGTTATTGTCGCTGCTGTGCAGCTGGAGATCAAACAGCGAGCAGAAGTGAAATAACTCTGTTTGCCCTTCGGCCCTCCTCACACGCTCACAGTTTCCTTTATTTGAAGCAAAACCAAAACAAAGTTCAACCAAGTCAGAGTCAGAAACAAAGAGGGCAGAGAGGGCACATGCTAACAAGTTTTTAAAATAAAGGAGTTTGAACAGGAATAATTGGGCAAAAACATTTGTTGTTTCCTTTTTTGTGGAGGAGATAAAAAAAAAAAAAACAATCTCAAACCAGCAGCTAGCATAGCATCAATACCACTGTCACTGAGTCTTTTCAATGTATTTGAAGCATAAATTCACTGAGATGAGTTTTTGATTGATTTCAAAGTAGTCTCATCCTCTTACCAAGACCTACAAAGTAAAATCTGACTGATTAGTAATACTATGACCATAACAGGGCTCGACAATGCGACCATGTCATTTGCGACTAAAAATAGATGTGTGCAAATTGTAAAATGTATTTAGGGGCACATGTGCACATAAAAAAAATTAGCAGTTAGTTTTAGGTTGGATATCCGACGGACATTCACGGCGGATCTACCGGTGTCTTCTCACTCTCCATAAACGGGAATAACAACAGCAGTGCGGTTAAATCTACTCGACACCCTCGCTGTCAATGTCGGGTGTTGAATAAGGGACCGTCAATAAATTACCGGTTGATGTTCTCAGAAAAGGCTGTTTTCCTTCAATAGCTTTCATGTCATGTGACCAATTGGCCTAAAATTGATTTCAAATAATAGTACTAAGGTTGGACGATAAGACATACATCTTTATTTCCCTAATTTGTCCTCTAAAAATGTTTGCGTTAAACTTAAAGGCAAATTTTGAACATTTTCTTCAATAGCTTCCATGTCATGTGACCAAAAGACCTGAAATTGAGTTCAAATAGTAGAACTTATGTTGACCAGTAAGACACACATTATTTAATCAATTTTTATTGTGCCTCTAAAGTTCTTTGTGTGCTCCTTACTTTTTCAACTTAGGGGCACATGTGCTCCTTGTGCAAAAAGTTAGTGTGAAGCCCTGCGTAATATCTGGTATATTTGGCGACCTGCTCCCTGGTCACAGAATTTATAAATGAACTCTGTAAAAGTAACTTTTATACAAGAATTAAACTTCACAGACTTTCAGTTTCTTTCCTGTTACTTCAGGTTTTTTTGAGGTTCTCTGTCTGGCCTTATCCCACAGAATTTTAGTGTCAGGGTCCTGATCCTAAGACAGGAGAACATTTATCACAGCAGCGGCCCATTTATAAAATGACATCCTAACTGGCCTGTTTCCAGATGGGAGAAACAAACGCTGGCTAAACTGAACACTCTGGGTAACAGGATCTAAGCTGAAAAAGCAAAACGAGTGTCAGGAGGTGAAACACATCCTTCCAAATCTTTAAAGGTTACAGCGGTGGATTTAACTGATGTACAGCTCCCTGGAACAAGAGGAAAAGTTCACCACTAATATCAAAGAGTATAAAACAACCAATTAGCTCATTTTCTCTATGCAGAGTAATCTCTCTTTGCTGATGTCTTCATACTGAATAAGTCATTTAAATGCAGACATAGTGTAACATTTACATTGTCATTCAGTTAGACAGCACAATATGCATTATTAATTCGAAGGATGTTGAATTATTGAACACAGCGGATGTTATCTGAGATAAGAGCATCTAAAACTCTCAGCATCCACAGTTCAGTCAACTTGTTAGTCATTATTTGTTTCCTTGAAAGAGGCCAAACGGGGACTGTGAAAACTTTAAGGGAGGGAAAAATATACATGAGAGTTCTCGTTACCCCGCCGCAGTGTTGGACGGAAGCCACGAAGAAAACAGATTTGCACAAAGAACATCGGCCAAGCCTGTGAGTATACGTTCTAATTATATCTACAGAGTCATTTCATGAATTTACTCTGGACTTGGTTCAAGTGTACGCCATCCAAGAACGCAGAACAAGGGTGTAATTCGTGTGATGGGACAAAAAGCCTCTCAGCAGATGATAAAAAATGTATATGTCTGCTCACGGCGCTCAAGGACTATCGGAGACCTTCAGGCAGATCAGACAGGACGACCCTCGTTGTATCTGTGTTTGGGTTAATAATTCAGAGGGCAATTAGGGTGTGTGAGAAATGATCTGGTTTAAGTGGAAAAGGATCTAAGACTAGTGATAAAACAAGACCCCCTCCCCCGTTTACCCTTCATATCCTTGATCTCAAGGCCCCAGATCGACACTGTGACGAGGACATAAACAAGCCTTCACTAAAGGGGGTAACACGGCCTCTTATTACCCCTATTACTGTACGTATGGTTCGGATCACAGCTGCTCTGGTATGTTACAAAAACATGCTTATGATGCCAAACCAACCTGTTGATATTTGAGAAGTAATCTGTACCATGTGTTTAACATGTTAGCTTAAGTACTTGTAAATTATTTCCAAATGAGCCACAAACACAAAGTGCAGCTGGGACTGACATAAAGTGTCGGAAGTTCGTAAACGTGTAAAGAGAGAATGGCTGGTATGTGCAAAACGCTTATTAGAAGAAAAAATATAAAGTATTCCAGATGTTAATATTTGCCGACTGTATTTTTGGTTTATCACACGGCTTTGCTAACAGTTTTGCTTTGAAGTCTGTAATAATCCTCAATTTCACTCTTAAGTGTTAAAGCTTGTGTCGAAGATGAAACATCACGTGACTGGCGATAAATCAAAGCTTCAAATGTTTCCAAACCTTCAAAATCTTATCAGTCGTTCGACTACGAAACATTTAACTTAAATTCGTGATAACGGATAGATTACTTGCAACAAACCTCCCTAAAAGGCCCCTATAACATGGATAAATTATAATATTAGAAGAGGTTATGCGAATAGTTTTAATTAACAACACCTATTTTATTTCTTGAATGTATTAAAACTGCGTCCAGAGGTGTACTGACGCTCCTGATCATCATTTGGAGGGCTGTCATTGGTTTTACAAGCTGCCAGATGTCACTGTTTTCACTGAATGTGAAACTTTAAAGTTTTGAGTTTTTTCAGCACAAATTGAAAAGAAGCCCAAGAGCTTCATAAAACTTCATCTGCTCACAAGTATTAAACACTTCAAGACAAAAGGACTTAAAAATTCAGACAAAAAATGTACCGACAAAAAGTTTAAAAGAGTGAAACTTACTTTGGAACAAATGGACGACCAGATATCCACAAGGAAAAACATAAAGACGAAGAAGAAGTCATTCAGACAAGAATCACTGAAGAGTGCAGGGGAAGATGAGTCGATGTTATGAACTGAAAAAGAAACTGAAAGAGAAACTCACAGGCTGATTAAACACCTGTAACAAAAGACACAGGTGAAGCTAATCAAGGTAATCAAGCAGGTGTGAAAACAGGAAGTAAAACTAGACGAGAAACACTAGGAGGAAATATTTCAAAATAAAACAGGAACACTAACGAACAGACTCAAAATACCTGCAGCCCAACTGTGATTAGAAGTTAGCTTTTTCTAAACGTTTAATAAATATTTTCTTGTCTTTCTGTTGTACTGCTGTGGTCTCAGATAAGAGCATCTTATCTTTATTATATACTTAATTTTGATACACTTGATATTAAAATACTTCAGATCTCAAGTCTTGAATTATCAGAATTTTAACAAGCCAACAAAACATCTTTGACCAAGTGGTTGAGTGTCTATAGAGGCGAACGGTGTCATTAACTGCCTTTTCAAAAACATTAAATATGGATGTGTTAAAATTAGGCATGAGGTGACACTGTGACTTAATAGTAGTGGTCTCCACAGCTATAAAATGAAGAAGTCTCAGACTGAGTTTATATTCAAGATTTCTCCCAAAAACTGGGACTTTCTCAGATCCTGCCTACCCCACCTCTATCTACCAGAAGTAGTACCCTTCAAAATAAAAGCATAATTTGACCATACAGGAAACAAAATAACCTAAACACAGAATTTCAGAAGAAAATACTGATGAACAATCATTTCTTCTTCATCTTCTGAGTCCTGATGTGATAGATTCACAAGTACAAGCCAAGTCACACGTCCTGAACATTGTGGCTAGAGCTGGAATTGAATCCAAGTAATAAAACACAACCAAAAACACGAAGACTAAAGACAAGTAACAGCTTTTGTAGACCATTCGAGGTTTTTCTTTCTCTGCTACAGACCCACCACACTGTCTGTTCCACTCCAGCCTCTGGGCTTGACAGAAATCTGTTTTTTGCACCACTGTGGAGGCAGAAATGTATCGACAGGCAGGTCTAGAGGAAACAAAACTACAGTACTTTTTAGGACAAACTTGTGTGCCAATACCGACAGCCAGGAAAAGGGTGGACAGATGCAGCAGAGTGCTCGCCTCTTCTGCTTCATGCAACGCTGAATAGCGTATAGACCCCTGGCCTCATTAGTCCTTTAATTTGTGTTTTCCAGAAAAGCTATTTGCACAAATGGGATGACTCAGGGTAGAAGCAGCAAAGGTTGTCGAGCTGAGAGAAGCTGAGACATCACTTCAGTCTTCAACTCACAAACTAAATAACCCATTTTGTGAATGCTGATCCAAGCCGGAGGGTTGCTGAGATTTCAAAAGGGGAGGGTGAAGCTAATGGCGGACAGCTCACCTGAGCTTTCACCTCATGTAGCACCGCTCCATACTCAGGGAAGATGTCTGAAACACAATCCAACTTTACTCCCGTGAGCTTTAATCTATTTTCACATTAACCTTTTTGCTCCAATACTTGACCCACAAGGTTCCCAACATTACACCTCGGCGTCGACGCGCAGATTCATGTGTCAGCTGGCATCAGTGAGGCGAGGCAGGGCAATATTGTGCTGTTAGTCGATGCGATGTGACCTGGGAGATGGGTACGGCCAGGCCACGGGGCTCATGGCTGGGTAATAAATCACAGAGATGACAGGAATGGAGGGCTTTACATTATGACCACCTCAGGTAATCGCAACACATGTACCCCCGAAAAACGGAGAAAATAATCATCCAGAAGGATTTTTTTTTTCTTTCTCTATCTGGCAACTTCTGCTGAGATTCAAGTAAAATTGAGCTTATTTAGTTCCCACCTAAGTTTTTTATATATAAATAAATAATTATTTTTTTTGCTCTTCACATTATTAACTGCACAACAAACGATTACCTATTTAAAGCTCCTGTGAGAACCTTTTGGTTTGTCTTTATTTTGGCGCCTCCGACGGGAAGAACAGTCTGTTTATCTTGTCCTCCGCATGCTCAAGCAGCCATACTGATAAGAAAAAAATCTAATCTTTCTAACTTTTGACAATCGATTGTATTATTCAGTGTGAATATTTTACAAACAGGGCTGTTTCACCCGTGGGAGACTGACACCTACCCCCTCATATTTTTATTTTTTTTTATATTTCTATATTTTAAGATATAGAAATTTTAAGTTATTTTGTTTATAGTCCTGTTTGCTTTTGGGAATTATTAAAAAGGATTAATATGAATTTCTGTCTATTTTCTAAACATAAAAACTCCTTATAGAAGCTTTAACTTGATTCTTTGTACGTCTGTCTCTTATATGTGTGTTTTAATCAAAGATAAGGCCTTTCCCACTTTAATTTAACAATAAAAACATATAAAATTATGTAAAATATTAAACTGTTAAGTTCAACAACTCCTCACTGATTACATAATTGGAGTTAGCCTCATGAATTAAGGTTTTTTAAATATTTGAGCACCTTAGTTTATTATGCTTCATAATTTAAAGTATACTATGACTAAACATGTCAGAAACATCCATGCACTGAACTATACCAGACTTTACTCCAACTATTGAAGTAGGACCAAACATAAAGTGATTTCTTTATCAATATCATCATCGGTGTCATTTATCATCTTGATTTTTTTAATCATTTATAATATGATTTCACTTGTTTTGTCATTTTAAAGACAACAGCCTGGTACCTCATAAGAATTTCATCAGCCTGACATCACTAATGTAGCAATATGCGCTTGGTGTCATGATTGATATCCCACATGAAACAAATCAATAAGCCTAATCATTGCATTCCCTAAGATACCCCATCTAATCAAAACTATCAATCCTGCACGTCTGGCCTGGTCTGTAGTCATTACCTTCCTGCAGCGCCTGAGGCTATTAGCGCTGGAGCTACCTAGTGAGCTGAACAGAGTACCTGGAACATTAGCGTGGTCAAACAGCCTCAGCGCAGCAGGATGGATGAATGGTGGGGTTGTGGAGCCAGCAAAGCATGATCATACTAATGGGCCATGGTAAATGGACCAGCTATGGGTAGTATGGGCCGCCTGGCCCCGCTTTGTGATCCAGAGCCGTGCCCATTTCACGGTGTCTGCCTGGGACCTGGCCGCACTCACTCACCGAGATGGAGAGCTCCATGACGGAGGGCGAATTTCAAGAAGGGTCTGTCTGAAGAGGCGGCGGGACAATCATCAGAGACAAAACGGGAGCTGTCTGTGGGTTTTAAGTTATGAGACGCCTGATACAGCTTTGTAAGAGGAAATCTGTCTTCTCTGAGACTTGAACACTTTGGCCTGTCTGACCACCTTCTGCTCAAAGACAAAGACAAACAGAGCTGTAGATACCACCAACCGCTTCACCTGGGATTTGTCTCATAATATGACAATAAATGCCTGAGGAATGGCTCCTTCTTTATAAACATTTATTCATACACAACTACTAATGTATTTAATTAGTAAACTGTCGTATAAAATGGCCTTTTTATCATAATTCCACTTTATTGACACAGTCGCATTAACAGTGATTACCGTCATTGTTGGTTCTGTTTATCATTTAAATCAGCCTAATCAAGTATTCTTATTATCATTTAACTGTTTATAAGACTAAATTAATGACAAATACAGAATCAACCCAGAATAAAATATAATGAAATGTCTTTTCTATGAAGAGGCTGAAGAGTCCAATCACATAAATTACCATCCAGAAGCCATTATCATCACAACAGTGAATGAATTATATCAGTATTTTCATTGAGATGTATGATTGTTTGATTCTAAGTGTCCAATCCTGCTAAACTGTGTGTCCATGAGAGTAGATTCCGTGCAGTAAGAGTTGTTTTTCCCCTCTATTGTATTCCACTGGAAAACACGGGAGAATAATGGGTGTAAATCAAGCAGCGTCTCATTGTCGCCTGAGGCGGTGCCCCCGATCCGAACGAACCCGTGACACTAACAACGTCTGACGAGTGCAGAAAGCTGAGCAAGACTTCCTCCGCTGACAGAGAGAGTCGGCTGAAGGATGGAGAGGTCGTGTCGGAGGGTTCAAGTTGACAATGATTGCCTCACGTGCAAAACAAAAAAACAATTAATAGACGTAGGTTTCCTCTTTTAGAAACAATATGGAGTCTAGTACGTAATCTGAGTATCTGCACTTGTAGGTGAGAGCTCAAAGTACTTTATTTTAATGCAGTTTGATATCTTTTTCTATTGTTTTAAATCAAAAACACATCAATGTTGATATTCTCCATCGTGGCTGCAGCAGGAAGCAAGAAGACACTGCAGTCGCTAAACTACGGCTTGCACAAAGGGACAAAATAGCTTCTGAATTAATAAAATGTGTTAATTTTCATCATGATTAAACCTTGTGTAACCCTTAGATTTGGATCCTTTCTTAACGCTCAGTGGCTAAAAACAGCCACTGACATTGACTGCTGTAAAAAGATATTGGATTCAGATTTTTTCCAGATTTTTTTTCATATATCTCTTAATTAACTTCTACTCTATTCAAAACTAGTACATGTTTCCTTTAGAATCCAAATTTTAACCCTTTAAGGACCCATTTAAAACATAGAGTCACTAATATTGGGAAAAAAATGGGAGGAAAATGACTGATTTTTATTAGATTCATTTTCTTCCATATCAGTGTCATTCTGTTTTGAATGGACCCTCAAAAGGTTAAAAAAAAAGGTTTTTAGATGAAACATTAACTAGTTTTGATCAAAGCAGAAGTTAATTAGGAGATATATGAAAAAAAAAATGGAAGAAAATATAAACCCAATATGTTTTTACAGCAGTCAAAGTTAGTGGCTTTTTTTTTGGCCACTGAGCGTTGACAACGGATGAAATTTTGCCCAGCGCGTATTTTTGACCTGGTGAAAATTTTGAAGTCATATTCTCTTCACAAGTATCTGCACAAAAAATCATCCCATTTGCTGCATTAAAAAAAAAGTTACGTGGAAATTAGTGGCTAAGTTTTGCCCCTAGTGGCTGCTTTTAGCCACAGCGTTACACAAGGGTTAACACATTAAAACAAACACATCAATAAAAACTAGTGCAAAAATGTT